TGGGGAGTTTTTGACATGTAAATGGGGGACTGAGAGCTCCAAAGCCCCACGATTACTCACTAAAACGGTGCAGTGGCCAAAAATGGTTCCCTGAAATGCACCACACGGGGGGAGGACACACACGCAGCCTCACTGCAGACTGAAGTGTGCCTCACAGTCTGGAATTATGTTAATTATTGAGCTTCCGTCTGGACACAAAACAGTCTCCACCCTAATAGAATTATTTACGGATGATATGGGCAGTCACTATGTGGGCAGTCGCATAAAGCATGTAAATACTGTAAAGCCTTTTGGATCAATGTATGGGATATTGGGTTATAAAATAAATGAACTTTATCTGTTAATTAATTTAACAGGGTAATACAAACAAAGACTGCTACATAGGAAAAAGAAATGCAACAGATGACACAATTCACTCCAAAGCCCCTGTTCCCCAGACAGACAAAACAGACTCAGCACATTTGTGTATGCTTGCATCAGTGTTTGTATGTATTGTACAGTGATGTACTGATATATTTGGTGGGAAATGTGCGTGAGTATGCACGTATATGATTGTGTAATGTGAGCAGTAAGTCCATTCAAATCTCATTCAGTGTTCAAACCTTTGTTGATGTTTAAACCATTGTTTGACTGAAACTATTAAATTCTGATGTGTTGTGGAAAGATATTTCATAATTGCGAGCATATATGTCATAAATAAAAACTGATTACAACTTTAGATTTATATATAATAAAGTGAAATATAGGTGTAGTTAATCATGTAAAAGGTGAAAATATAATTACAAAAGTTTGTTTTTTAAAGGGGCTCTGAAACAATAACTTCTGGGTTCATGGGGACATAAAATTATCAATCTGCTCTAAGAACAGTATTTCATTTAAAGTGCCATTGTGACTTTGGTAAATACAGATTATAGATTATAAAATTTATAGATTTTAGCTTTAACTTTATGCTGAAGTGTTGCACACACAAAAAAAATGTGGAACATAAATTATATAGAAAGCCATCCTATACAAGCCTAGCTCTATAAAATAAAGCTTATGACCAGACAGCAACGCCCCAGTGAGCTGGTGTTTGGCACGTCTGTGTGCCACATGTGTGCATGGCTGTAAAACACTTCTAACTCGCTGACTCACGAGGAGAAGCTACCCATATGTATTTAAATAGTTAAATGTTTCTTCAACCAAGAGAGCGAACAATTTTTTAGCTGCAAACATCGTTGCTGTAACGCAAACAAAATACCCCATGGCCTCAATAATGCACAACATTGCACATCTGGAGCATGCATCTGTCTCATGTTTGTAAGAGAGGAAAAAAACAACAGCAGAGAGCTGCTGAGCAGCAGGAGCAGTAGGCACACAGGAAGGGAAATTTGCTCAATATACCTTAGCCTGCGGCAGTTTGAGGGATAATTGCTGACACTCCTAGCATGCTAGATAGCCATTCCATGCTGCAGTGGTCAGGGAAACCCTCTGTTACTGACAGCTGTCTGAAGCACAGCACACAGAAAGGATATGACATGAAGCATGTAAACATGGATTTACCCATGTCCTCCATACTGCCTGCACAGCTTATTATAGAAGGACGCTGGCAGCATAATAAACCAGAAACCGCTGCCTGCTGTGGCAGAGTGCTTCTTTCCAGACTGCCCTACTTTCTGCCTGTAGTTGTTGACTTGGTTTATTTGTTCTGAATGGCCACATATTGCTATTTTTTCTTTACTCTTGCTGATTATGAGGAAATGGAGTTGCTTAACAATTGGGGGCAGAGAACACTTTTGAATAGTTTCCATCACTGGTATCAGGGATGTGATGCAGTGCCTCTAAACAAGGAAACATTTATCACACCCACAGAGAAGACTGTGAAAATGAGAATTAACTGATAGCAAAACAAACTGTTTAAGTTGCCTAATGTGTATACATGATGTAAAACACTTAATGATATGTTTACATTTAATGACACTCACACAGTAACTGATCTGATATGTCTTTGCAGTTCGGTGACACAGTAAGAGAGAGAGAGAGAGAGAGAGAGAGAGAGAGAGAGAGAGAGAGAGAGAGAGAGAGAGAGAGAGAGAGAAAGAGAGAGAGTTGGCATGGGAGTGTGGGGGGGTAAGGAGATGAACAGAGCAGCAGATAATGACCTCAGCTTCCATCTGCTGGGCACCACGGGGCGGAGACACCTTCAACCTGCCACCGGTCGGTCGTCACGGCAATATGCAGTTCCCCATCGTCCTGGTGACATCTGCTTTTGGGTGACTGAAAGATGAATGCAGCACCAGACGCATGGGCACAGAATAGACGTCACATAGACCACCAGACACACACACTAACACTGTGGCACAGATGGCCAGAGACGTACTACTGTGGAGATTACAATCCAGGCATTCTCCACTGCCTCTAACCTCTCAGTAAAGTGGATGTAATATAATGACAGGTTTGTAGCGCTGTTAGCTGTGACTATATTTTGGATCTCTTCCTAAAGAGCTTTCATTGACGGCCACTGGCTGGCAGTCCAGAAACCTTGCCATAGCGCAGTTTATTAAGGCAATCTAATATCCAATAACATCTTGTTAGCCTACAGCTGCTCACACACGACACAAGCTTTCACCTTTAAGGAATCAGGCTCATGTTTATGTCTGTTTGAGTTCATGATACCAATTTGTTTGTTTTTAGAGCACAGGGAATAAGTGTCATTGTTTCTAGTACTCTGTATCTATGGCGATATCGTTTTGCTTGACTAGAGTCCCCAGCCACAGCTGTCATAGTTATTTAGTGCCTCTCCGGTAACCTTGGAAACACCCACCCTGCACACAAGTGTTTTCACCAAGTGAGCTCCTGATAAACAGGTGAAGGGCTGGGAATATGATGATTGTACACAAAGCAGCATGAAAAAATTGCAACCAACCACCTTATATGTTGGGTTCACTTTGAGGAGGACAGTTGGAGGGAGGACAGAAAGAGAGAGATAGAGAGAGAGAGAGAGAGAGGGGGGAAATTAAGGGGTGGGGCAGCAGTGACAGAAGAACAGTGAAGCAGAGGAAGCAAAGGAAAAAGAGGGGAATTCAGGTCAGTGTTGTGGATTATGCATGCTGGGTTGGGCATTCTGATCCACCTCTGGTTTGGAGAGAGACGCTGGGTGAGAAAGGGCAATTGAGTGATAGTTGGATAAACAGAGAGCCAGAGTGCATGATACAGGAGCAGAAATGTGAAAACATGATCAATTGTAATTGCTTTCATAATTTCCCGGGGAGCAGCTGAAATGTTGTCACAATCTTACGACAGACTAGACAGATTTAAAGGCAGGGGTTATGCCTGGTTATGCCAGGCCTAAAACACTATGCTCAGTTGGATGAATGTGATCCAAAACATCAAGGTTGCTTTTTAAAATCAAGAAAGTAAAGCTGGGAACTGGCATTTGCAACAGCACCAAAGTTATACCCAATTCTAGATGTAGAAGAACACACCAGCTAACACCCATGTTAGCTAAAACAAGCTAAACTTTATGTGTAGATTTCAGTTTTCCAAAATACCAGGCTAGTTTATACATTGTAATTCCAAGAATGACTCCATCTTTCCTGTACCTCAGTTAAGCAGCACTGTTTAGAGTTAATAATAGCCCTTTTATGGAAAAGCAGAAAATCTCCCAGGCTAGTGAAGGAGGCATCAAAGTACAAATGTGTGTCAAGCCTCAGTGTTTAGAGGGTCAAATACTATTTGGGTCAACCTGGGTATACTGGCTTCTATGTTTGTCTGATCTTGCTTGAAGTGCTTTACCACGCAAATATTTGCGCTAGCAGCTGGCAAATAGGCACTCACTAAATGGCAATATCTCACACAATAATATACTTACCGGTAATTGAGTTACAATCCATATATGACAATTCCTACCCACATGTCAGTTTTCAACCTGAATCATCCCTTTCTAATGTGGCTGGATATGTGAAAATTTGTAATTAAAATTCCACTAGAGTTCTGTGTTTTTACATTGTACCCCTCACCTCAATCCCACTGGCACTATTGTGGGATAAGCCGGGCAGACAGTTTGCTTGAACTGGACTTTTTAGCCTGTGAGCAAATACTTTTTGTAACAAAGGTTGTTTTGACAGAAACAATGAAGGTCTGATATAAGATAGGGCCTGCCCATTAAGAGCCTTGAAAGCAATTAGCAAGGCCCTAAAATTAATTCTAAAATGTACAGGCAGCCAATGAAGAGAGACTAGAGGCTGGGGTGATGTGCTCGCACTTTTTAGTACCAGTCAACATCCTTGCAAGGGACCATAGGTAGTTACTTCAGTTTTGTTAATGTTCAGCTGAAGGACATTGCCATCCAGCCTTTAACATCCTTGAAACAGTCCAGGAGAGGCTACAGGGAATCCCTAGTTTTTAGGGGGAGGTAGAGCTGTGAATCATCAGCAAAGATGTGACAGGAGCTGTTTTAGTATTTCCTAATAATGTTTCCAAGAGGGAGCATGTATAGGCAGAATAGAACTGGCCCCTAGGGTGGATCCCTATTAAGCCCTTGCTTTCTTGGCTGCTGTTGTGAAGTTAGCCAGACAGTTTTTAAATATTTCAAATGAAACTGAAAGGTGATATAAGCTCGGCTCGAGAAGAAGTGGAGGTTGAGATGGCATCTCAAGGGTAACAGGAATAGTAAGTTTTGGGAGCAGATCAATGTGCATCGAATACAATAAGCATCTTATTATCAGAATAAAACACATAAGACATAATAAGGTCAAGAGTAAAGAATCCAGGACATGTATGAGATAATTTGCCACGAGTTTACCTGAACAGCATACGTGAATATTAAAATTGCCCAAAATCTACAGTCTGTCATGCAATAGAACAATACGAGACAGGAAATTTCTGCTATAGTCTTAACAGAACTAACTTGGATTACAGTAAACTTCAGTGAGATGTCGGTCACTGTTGGATAGATTTGTTTATCAAAGACGCAAGCAAAGCATCACAGTACATAAAATAAGCAAAGCAGAAATGTCAGGTCGGACCACTGTGTTTTACGATATATTTTTAAACATTACAGTTATGTTTTTAACAGAAATAAACAAATTTGACAAAACTTCTCAATTCAAATCATCTGCCAGTTGTCTACCCAGGACTGCTGTTGTTGGTACAATGTCACAATGAATCAGTCTATAGAGCAAAACTCCAAATAAAGGTTAGTCACAGAATCTATTTTTCCAGTGTGTGATTCAAATGTAGACTAGCTCCCAAATGAAAATGATTGTAATTTAAACCAATTCTTGAAAACTGTAGCCACTCTGTCCTCTCTGCCAACACAACGAGGGGTGCTAATGAATAAACAGTTTGCTGGACACAATTCACCAAAAATGGTTGACTCACCATTACCAGCCCATGTCTCTGTTAAAAATGAAAAATCCAAATCACAGGAGATAAAAAAGTTATAAAATTATTAGACACAGACCCAGCATTAACCACAGCCATTTTCCCTTGTATGTAGTTTTTCAATGAAACTACTTATTAATAAATAAAATTGTCACTGCCATATTGTCATTGGGCTCAAACCCCACCTACAAATGTAGAGTAGCTTAGTAAATGTAGCTTAGATGTAACTAAGCTACTTTTGCCACGTTTTTGTAACTTAGCTTGCTACATTTCACCGGGGGGGTAGCTTCTGTGTAGTGAAGCTTAATTTAATCTAGAGTAGGTAGTAGCTTAGCTCACTACATTTTCCAAGTAGCTTGCCCAACACTGATGACATGTGACCAACCAAGGTGCATACTGGGTCTGGCTAAATGCTAAAATGATCATGCAGATCCTCCAGGAGTGATTTCTGCGTTCCCTTTGGAAAGTTTACCTTTGGAAAGTTTACCTTTGGTGAGGTGTGTGAGGCCTTTCTGCTGTTTTCGACAATAATCTCTGACCTGTTGTGGCCCAAGAGTGCTCTTTAGCTCTATCAATTTTATTGATATAGCACAGTTAAAACAACCAGGACCAAGGTGCTTTACATTTAAAAATTTAAATTACATTTAAAAAAACAATAATTACACAGTAAAAGTACAGCAATAAAACATTAGAACATACAGTATATGATATATAGTGATATTAAAATCACCAGGGATAATAACTGACTTAACTCAAAGGAAATGTCAAAGAAATGAGATGTGTTTTTAACAGTGATATACAACGTTCGAGTTGGGGCGGTTGTGATATGGACTGACAGGTTGTTCCACAGGTTAGGGGTTAGGGTTGGTGTAGGGGCAGCTACACCAAAGGCTCGATCGTCTCTAGTTTTAAGTGTGCTTCTGGGTACATCCAGCAGGAGGAGATTGGCAGATCTCAGTGTGAACACAAAGAAGCTCCTTTAGGTAAAGTGGAGCCAATCCATTAAGACATTTAAAAGTTAAAAGATTTTAAAATCAATCCTGTACTGAGCAGGAAGCCAGTGGAGGGAGCCCAACACAGGTGTGATGTGGTCTCTCTTTTTCTTTCCTGTCAGGTGGCAGTAAGCAGCATTTTGGACTAACTGCAGGCGATGACTTGTCCAAGCCCACATATAAGGAGTTACAATAGTCAAGACCGGAAGTTATGAAGGCATTAATCACCCTCTCTAAATATTTAGGAGGGAGATAGGCCTTTACCTTGGCTATAGTTCTAAACTGGAAGAAGCAAGATCTAACAGTGGTGGATATCTGTTTATGAAATTTTAATGCACTGTCCAATACAACACCAAGACTCCTCACGGTTGAGCGATTATTTGAAGTTAAAGGTCCGAGAGAACCTACACAAAGCAGTTCAGGATGTCCAAACACTATGACCTCTGTCTTGTCTCTGTTTAGGTTGAGGAAGTTCAGGGCATCCATGATTTGATGCAGTCAAGCAGGGCTGCAGTGAGCCCTTTGTTTTTACATTCAGGGGCAAATAAATTTGTATATCGTCTGCAAAACAGTGGAAAGCGACCTCGTACTAAAAATGGAGGCCAGGTGCAGCATATATAAAGAAAATAAGATATGGCCTCAGACAGAACCTTGAGGGACACCACAGGTAAATTGGGCTGTCTCAGAGGAATAATCACCGAGGTGGACAGAGAAACTCCCATCTGTTAGGTATTGAAACCGGTGTTCACACCGAAAGCGAATCCAGTGTTTTGGGCGGCTTGATTACAATCAAAGTCAATGCAAAGACGCGAATTCGCTCCGGGCAGCGCGAATGAGGCGTTTGTCTCGAAATTTTTCAACTTGGGCCATGTTGCGAAAGCCTATCAGCGATGAGATATTCCAAACGTCACCAGCGGCTTCGGAGCGTTGTTTGGAGAAGACCTGCCGAGCGGTGTAATGACAATCCGCAGGCCGACAGGGAGCTGCTAAAGAATGGGTAAGTGTATGGGGAGCAGTGCTGCAGCTTTCGGAGAAATAAACACCCGTAGTTGGTCTGGATTCTGATCTGACAACTACATCGTTTACCCACGGGAGGAGCTCAGAGTTAACTGCTTTTATTAAATTAGCTTTTGATTTATCTTCACTCACACTTCTCGGCAGCTAGCTTCCATGCACATCCGGTTCCACTGTTGTTGTTAGTGTTGGATGGCACTGGAGTTCTGCTGGATTCTACTTCATATTTATATAAAAAACGGACAAAGCTGGACATTACTTGGAAAAAGAAAGCGAGGAAGTTGAACTACCTGGTGATTTCAGAAAATGTGTGTCATTCAGAAAAAAAACATTTTAAAAGACCTGGCAAAGCATGAATTCATATGACTAACAAAACGGCATCATATTGTAGTTATTTTGGCATCAGTTTGACCAGTTTGCAATAAAATCACAGCACAAGGTTTACTTTGGGTTCAAATAGCAGTAGTATCTGCGGGCTGTATTTATTTGCTTGAAACGCGTTGTGTGTGAACACTCAAAATGTCCAGATGTCAAACTCGCGTGAGTAAAGTGAGGCGAATATTAAATTCGCTTTCAGTGTGAACACACCTTAAGAGCACTAAGACAGCAGAGACTCCTGAATCAACAGTTAAAATAAAGTCATTAAAAACTCTTAAAAGTGCAGTTTCAGTGCTGTGACGGGGTTTAAAACCAGACTGAAACTTTTCATAAACATTATGGTTAATTAAAAATGTTTGCAGCTAGGTAAAAATTACTTTCTTCAGGACTTTAGATAAGGAAGACAGTTTAGAGATGGGCCTGAAGTTAGAAAGAACAGAGGGGTTGGGATTTTCCTTTTTTAACAGGCGCTGCACAACAGTGTGTTTAAAGGCGGATGGAACATAGACAAGACACAAGACTTCCCTAAAGACGCTTTACTTCAGTAAAATGTCAATTTAGTATGGCAGAGGGATCTAAATACTATGACCACCACAGCACACCTTAGATAAACCAGGGAACAAGGAAACACGAAAACAAAATAAGAAATAAAGGAAACAAAAGAAAATTAACTTAAGAAAATAAGAGAAGGAAACAGGGAAATGTAGAAACAAAAGTAGGACACCAAAGACTGAAACACAGAAACAGGGAGACAAGGATACAGAATTTTTTTTTTTAAATTAATGAACAAACGACAAAAAAGAAAATTAAATAAGGAAACAAGGAAACAAAAGAACAAAACAAAAAAAGGACTCCAAAGGGCGTTATGTGTAGGTTTTTTTGACTTTCACATAACATGCGTATTTGATTTAATGTTAATTTAAAAACTGCAATTAAAGGCAGGGTAGGTAAGTTTGAGAAACTAGCCAGAAACTGCTGAATTTTGAAAGTATTCAACAGAGAAACTCCCACCCTTCTGAGCTCCTTCCAAAACCATGCCCCCAAAACACGTAAAAGTGCGTTGCCGACACCGCAGGAGGACGAGTGTGACGAGCGGAGAGTAGCGGCTCACATCAGGGGTAAGAAAATATCTAACTTTATTATTATGAAAATAAAAAACTAACCCGGCTGTTAGTACTCACCATCAAGCTAGCATGTTATTATTGGATAGGTTTAAAAAGACCGAGTTTTAATCAGTAACGAGCTGCCTAGGTAACTGTTAGCAACAGATAGCTGTGCTAACAGCTGTGTTAACATTGGGCAAAGCTAACAACAGGCTGATACACATTTTCTCGTTACCATCAGTTACACGTTACACTACAGGAACGTGAATTTCATGTTAGACTCATAACATGTACGTTGTTTTGCATGTTAGAGCTTCCATGGTGACAGCATTATTGTCTCTGATGAGGACTGCACCCCAGAGCCAAGCACAGACCGGGACAGGACCGGGGTCGAGGCGAAGCAGAGGAGGGAGGGCTGCCAGGGTCCGAGGAAGAAGAGGCAGGATGGAGAGGACGAGGTGCAAGCCGAGCAGCACATCTTCTAGGACCTGTGTCGAGCTTCACGCTCCAACAACAGCATATGAACAGGTATATATATACACTGTATATATACATACATACATACATACACATACATACATATACACACACATATATATATATATACATATACACATACACACACACACACACACACATATATATTTTAACCCAGTGTACTTGTCTCAAAGTTTCTCTGGTGTTTAGCCCCCTATGTAAGCCCTAAAATATATACTTTTTTTATTATCGTTTACCGATTACAAAAATTAATTACAACTTTGCTTTAGCCATCGGCTCATCTGTGTCATGAACATTGACCTGGTGTGTAATGTGGACACAGAAGTCCTGTCAGAGAACAACAAAGCCCTGTTCAATAAAAATATCTGATCATGTTGATGAATGTTCTGTCCAATATTGAGTAAAATGCACAAGAGTACTCATAATGCAACATACTGAATTGTGTCATCATCTTTTCTCCTGGCTGGTCTGTGGACACGGTGGTTGTAATCCTGGCCAGCCAGCAGTCTGATCAGTGTACTGGTGAGAAGCACAGGGTGTTGGAAGACTGCAGGTGACCTGAGGGCACAGTAGAAATAAAACATACAGGATTTTTTACTTCTGGTAAAACTACATTAAAAGGTTTTCACACAGTAGGTTTAGCTACGAACAATGTCAAAACTATATTATAAGTAGCTTATATACCAGAAACACAGATACTTGGGGACCTTTAGCCATTATTGTTTATGTATACTAATGTTGAAATGTCTCTCATAACTACAAACACACAGCTATATCACCACATTTGTAAAAGTAGCATACAGTCAAACATCAACTGCAGACGCAAGATAATAACACAAACAGATTAGATACAAGGTGTAAAGATAGGTGTAAACATAGTATAATAAACCTAGATGGCTCCTACACCAGCCTGCACCATAGACTGTATGGCCTGCACTCGTAGCAACCGTTAACTGAATGCTAAGTAGGTAGCTACGTTTGCTAGCGATGACAGTAACAAATTACCGTCGAAATGATAAAAGCCAGATTACCTGTCCAGCAGAATTAAAGCCACCACGGTGTAACTTTTCAGCCCCTTGGTGTTCGTCAGTTTTCAGTTACTATCGTTGAAAAGCCACGCAGATATTTCCTCTGGTCTGACCGCTTCGCTCGTCAGGTCCGAGCGAGCTGAGCGGGTGCGCGCATGGGGGCAGCTCCTGCAGCAGCAGGGCTGGTAGCCATGGCAGCGAGTGAGAGTGACATTCAGCCAGCCAATCATTGCATTCGGTCCGAATGGAACGAGTGGCTGTGTTTACTGCAGCCCTGAGAGGACTACAGACAGCTCTATTTTTCAGTGCACCTAACTTTTTAATATATATTGGTGTATAAAGACAAATATGACAAAACAACAAATATGACAAAAAGTGTTTTAGAATCAACTTGCCTACCCTGCCTTTAATGGCGCTTTTAAAGGCAATAAAAAAGCAAATGCTAATAAAGCTAATTTACCTACCTGTGTGGCTTGTTTTTCTTCGTAGCAACAAAAACATTGTTGTACAGCAACTGACTTGTGGAAGATTCACCAGCATGTTTTTGGCTCTACAGACGCTGCAAATTTAACATCACACTCCAAAGATTCCACTCGCTACCCCCAGCCAAGTGTGGAGGCCCACAACATATACACACACACTCACACACAGCCACAAAATCACGTGTTCCCCAATACACAAGCGGGCACATACTCACACATGCATCTATGCTGACTTATATGTGCACACACACAAACACACACACACAATCCCTCCTGTGCCTGTAAAATCAGCATAGCTCTCAGAAATTCCACTAACACCTCCCACCCCATGTGGACACACACATACATGCACACTCCTGTGAACCCACACAATTAATGTGAAATCACATCCATCTTCCACCCTTCTGCCCCTCCCCTGTTCTCCATTACAAATAGCTGAGGATTGCATTCTCTCCCTCTGGCCTTGCCTGATGTTGTTTTTACATGTCTTGTTGTGTGCAATACTCTCCCTTATGTAAGACAAAATTACTCAACATGAGTGTTATTCTCAGTGGGGGTGATTGCACTGGTGCATTCCAAACTCAATGAGAGATGGAGGGAAAATGAGAGAGAGGTGAGAGGGAGATAATCTTTCCTTAATGATTATTTTTATGGCAGCCATGCTTCACTAGATTGCCTACAATGAAGAAGGGAAAACAGGGGAAAGGGAGGTATGCTGCAAAAGTCATGAGTCAGATTCAAACTCATGAGCACCTGCTGAGCTACCACGCCTTTGAGTCAACAATCTTAAGTGGATTATTTCTTTGCAGATTTAACCCCCACCAGCATGAGTACTGAAGATTCCTTGATAAACACTGACCAAGAGATAAGAAGGGCACATGCAGAGTTAAGAACTTGTTTACTCTGTACAGTGTCACAATAGGCAGGAATGTCCTGTACTGTATATAGTGCACACTGTTTGTATGGTAGGAGAACATGCAAGCACCAACTATGACGTGCTAGGACACGGAAGGGGCTCCCCACAGAGAAACAACAGAAGGACAGTTCAATAGCTGTTTGTCTCTGATGCGTCAGGCACTAGTTCCTGCATTTTTCCATACATGTGATCCAAAATGAGGTTTCCTCCAATCAAGTCATCCCTTGTCCTTGCACTCATTCATAAGGACTTCTCATAGATGAAGCAGGGAGCTGAGATACTGACAGAGACAGATCCTCTATTGATAAGGCAACCAAAATAGAACACTTCATTGTATAATACTGTAGCTCATTTGTGGGCATAATGCACGGGCAAGTGCACGTGAGGTAAGGGACAGGAATGAAAACAACCATTTAATGATGGGTTCCTGGTGGCAAAATACCACACGTGTGGAATTGGGAACATTGCATGTTTATCGAATTCTCTCAAGTAGGGTAAACATGAAAGCAATGAAAGAGTGCTGGTGATAATATTAAAGTATAGTGACATTGTAACAATTAAAGGTGGGGTAAGTGATTCTGGAGAAATCCAATACCATGATTTTGAGCGATATAGAGATTAATAAAACTAATGTTAGCTTAAGCCTATTTCATACTACACGATTTTAAGCTTGATTTGCCTGTCCCCGAGCCCGCCTGCCCATTCTCATCTCAGGGCATCATATACAGACGATTTGAGAAAGGATTACAAAGCATAGTTATTTGATGCGAAAGGTACCCTTCGGCGTCTGTAGGGGACGCCCCAGATGCGTGTGTATAAGACGCCTCCAGGTGCGTCTATACATGACGCATGGGGTGACCGAAAATGCTAGTAGCACTTCTGGTCGCTAACTAGATAGCTAGCTTGCTAGCTAGTTTATGTTTAAGGCGCTGACAGCCCCCCGAAGCAACTTACCCTAAGCTTAACCATCACATAAGTTTGTGCCTAAACCTAAGTCAGTAAATATATGCATGTCGACTGGCTAACCCTACAGCTGTGCACATCGGCCACGCAAGCAGGTAGGGTTAGCCTCCTCTGAGTCTGTGTTGCAACGCACTAGCAAATTGCGGAGTTTGATATGGACGCTGAAGGGTCGGTATTGGACGCACTGATATGAGAATGGTTTGAGCTCGCAGACCGTCAGGCTGTGATCGGGGGAAATCAGCATTCAATCGATGTGCCAGCCGTTATGTGTGAACTGTTCAACGACGCATCACTGACACATAGCCGATGCCACCCAGATATCTAGCATACTAAATATCTGGAGGAGTCTGCCGACTCGACATCCACATCCAGCCAATGAGAGCAGGCAGCTACTATTTCACTGTAAAACACTTTTTACTCACCTCCAGCTCTCTCTGTAGTACAGACAATCCCTGCTACCCACGTGTGCTAATCCATTCTTTCACCTATATTCTTTGTCTTTATAATGGCTATCTTTAGAATAATAAACAACTGCTGTTTCGTGTGTAGCTTTGCCTCATTTCCTGTGACACTTCTGACAGTACGTGGTTTGAAGACCAGTCCGTTGGGTGACAGTGTCATTGTCAGCTCATATAGTGTGTGACCTCCCGTCACCGATCAGTCACGTACTATGAACACCACAATGACTCCCGTCACAAGACAGAAAGTTGTGTAGCCTGAACAGCACAGCGATCTGCCAACACTGAAAGTTGTGTAGTCTGCCCGAGCAGGTTAGGTTGTGGGTTAGCAAAGTGTCACTATAGTTGCTGCTTCGAAGCTAACATGCAGAGAGGACGAGGACGTTTCCAGAGCCAGCACACCAGCTCCAGACAGCAATACTCACTACTCTATACTATAGCAGACATCACAACAATAGCATATTGGCCAACCAGAAATTAATTTTAATGTATGGGTATATAATTTAGTGTTTCCTGACACACAAATCATGGCTGGAATGGTTGTTGTTTCCCATTTACAGAACCAGGGCTGTTTTTATATACAGCCACTCGTGCACACACAGCACGGACAGCTAGCAGACCCTGAGGAGATATATTTGCTGAATTTGACAAAAAGACGTGTATTGGATTAGCAACGCATACCCCACCTTTAACTAATTTCAGGAATTTGGAAATCTTAAAGCTGCACTTATCAATATATTTATACATTGACTTTTCTAGTGATAAAACTAGAGAGAATTATCACAAAAAAATCCCCTCAACTCTTTTCAGGTGTTTTCATCTGAGGATGTATTCACTGAAAAAGCTGAGAAAAATCCACTGTACACTACCTGCCCACCACCAACCAGCAGACAGACAAAGCTAGCTAGCTAGTGAACATAGTGGAGCATTTAGCAGCGAAAGAGTGAGCTATTTCCTTCAGGAGTTGAAAAAGAGATAAAAGGAGAGTGAATATATATCTAGATTTACATTCTTCAGGTGGCTAGAGACACAACTCCAAATAAATGCTAATGCAGCTTGTTGTCTGTTGGAAGGGGAAATTTGCAGCGGTGACAACATCTTGTAATGGTTTCAGAACATACACCTGTCTTAGCGAACTATGACGAAGGAAATAAAACGCCAGTAAACTTTACATTCATGAACTATTTGAACTTGATGGTTTCTGAAATATTAGCAGCCAATCCCACTTGCCTGTAAAGGATGCTGCCATGGCTAAGTGGTCTAAGCAAGCTGAACAGTCTTCAATGCATGAAGAGGTTGAAATAACCGAATAACTGAGTTTGTGATAAAAGGACTGCTTGTTCGCCAATGCCTAGCATCTGACTTGAGAATGGCATGTGGTCTAGAAGTGCTAATGCACGTGGTCACAAGACATCAGGGGGCATCTCTTCACTATCTTTGGTACAATCTGTTTTCAGACTGAGTACTCAATGTCCAAGGAGTTGTCAATACCTCACTTATTTTGGGGAACAACACTGAATATGATACCAATTTAATTTGGATTAGGGAAATAATTTCTCAGTGTATAACAGTTAAACTACTGAATGGAATCATCCTGTTTTACATTAGCCCATTTATGCTGTGTGAGAATCATCTTTACATGGCTATCTGTTTTTATTTAACATCTTCAATGTGCTTTTTGATTAAAACAGAAAACGGAGCTGTGTTGTCATTACAAGAACAACAAAAGCATTCTAGGTTTGGCCTAATTTCGGCATATTGATCTCGTCACTGTTCCACCACCAAAAAACTCTTCACAGAACATATCATAGCCACCCAGGTCAAAGGCCACCACCCTAAGTACCCAGGCTTGTTTGAACATTATTTATAATGAAATACATGGCTTGATGAATGAGCTCCCCTGATCTTCCTCTCAATCTCTTATTGAGCAGGCATGTCCTCCTTAAGGGGGGCTCCTCCTAGGCAGACAGACCTCTCTTGGAGGGGGGTCTGCGGCAGTGGGGCGGAAAAAAACAAAACACTGTCATCTGTTTTCATGGAGGTGGCAGAGGCCCAGCCTATAGCTGTGCTTTGGCTAGGAGAAATAAGAGAGAGATAGAGAAAGGAAGAGTGAAATTAGAGTGAAGAGGAGCAGAGGGTTATGAGGACGAGGAGAGAAGGATAGAACAGGGAAAGGGAAAAGGTGCAGAGGAGAGAGGTCGAGGGAAGAGGCAAGAGAAGAAATAGGCAGGAAAGAGCAGGAGGCTACATGCTAGGTGTTGGGTCGGGATAATAGCGAGGATCATGGGATATGCTGGCCTCCATACATGTACAAAGGCAGCTCACAGATGACAGTGCAGTGGCATACCGGGCACCGATCCAGAGTATCATCCCCCATGGGAAGAGTCTCTTTCACTCTATCCGATTGACTCTCTACCCTTCTCTCTCACAATATCATTCACTTTCTATTTCTCTCTATTTCACTCCATCTCATCTCTCTATTGTCATCTTCTGTCCCACGTTATCCAATAAACTCTGTTCCTCAATGCCTTTCTTCACGGGTGCTCTTAATCAAATTAGACTAGCTCCAAGTAACAGGAGGAAAGACTAACAATCAGACAAACAGACAACGCCCTTCAACTGACATTTGTTTTCTCAATAACTTGTGGCTTATAGACAATGTGAAGAGAATGGTAGGTATCACACTCGCACACAAGCGTGCATGCACACACACACACACGCGCACACACACACACACACACACACACACACACACACACACACAAGTAGCATAAATAGAGTATTAACTAAGACAATGACTACAAACTCTCAGTGTGGGTTTCCCAAGAGGTCTATGAGATGGATTTCTCAGTGAGCCTATTGTCTCGTTCCTGTTTACAACCGCACCTAATCTTGTTTTCACATGTGTGCTTTAGCTGTCAGGAATATATGTGGGTGTGTGGCTGTGTGTTGGTGTCAAGAACTTCTGTTTTCAGAAATACCACTAATCTCATACAAAAGCGTTGATTCAAGTATTACATAATGATGAATAAAAGTAGATTCCTTCAGTGACAGGTGCCTCAAATTAATATTTTAACACTAGTGCTGAAATGATTAGTCAATTATTTGATCAGTGGATCAACAGAGAATTAATATACAAAAACTTTGAAAACAGATTAATTGTTAAAATCAATAAAAATCAATAATATTTGCTGGTCCTAGTTTCTGAAATGTGAGTTTAAATTGAATACCTTTGGGTTTTGAACTGTTGGTCAATATCAAGCATATTTTACAACAGCACCATGGACTCTGATAGCCATTTATTTTTAACAATTTATGACATTTTAAATTTATTAATTAAAATTGTAGATTTTAATCAATAATTATTTGCAGCCCTATAAACCCTTTATTCTGTCCATCACCTGGTTAAAATTGTAAAGTGTTAGGATTTTTGTTTTTTGTTTTGTTTTTTTGTTCTTTGGTTTTGCTCTGCTGCAGTCCCGCACTAACAATTTGCCACCACAGCCACTTTTTATCCAGCCCACCAAGCACATGAGCAGCCATAATGACACTAATTGCCCAAGAGCTCACTTTTCCTCTGAATGGTTATGTGCTGCATTGTGCCTTAAGAGCCATCTGTGCTCCTGTCTTAAATCGATATCTTGCACATTCCAAAACTTCAAGAGGACAGGGAAAGGCACCACTCCCATTCATAAATAATGTGTATGGGGTGAGGGGGACGTGGGCTACTGTTTCTTTGTGTGTCTGTTTGAGTTGCACCTCTCCAGGCCACTGGAGGTCTGGGAGAGTGAAGCAGCTCATGACATCTGACCCTTGTGCTATCTAACTTCTCAGGGTGGAGGTAAAGAAAATGTTGCCAGCCATAAACTGATATTCTACTTGGGTGGAATGTTTCTATCCCATTTTAGCTTGTGGACATTTTACTTTGCATTTACATTTTGAACCAGTTTAGCTTATACTACCACATTACATACAACCTTTTAATGGAGATTGGTACAGGTGTTCAATTAATATTCCTAAAACATAATAATTAGAGGACTTAGCAAGATCAATTTTAATGTGAGTCAAAAAGGCCAAGATGTTTTTGAGCTATTTAATAGAACAATGCATTAGCAAAAGGAAACATAACCGTTTTTTGTTCTTATTTGAGCTGCAGAAAATCTGCACCACAGATAACATTAAAGAATATAAGTTATATATATAATATAGTTCCACATTTTGAGAAATATGCTTATTCGCTTTCATAGGGTTAAATGAGAAGATCGATACCACTCCTCTGTTTGTGTGTTAATTATGGAGCTGGAGCCAGGAAGCAATTAGCGTAATTTAGCATAAGCTATGGGTTAAACAGCTAGCCAGACCTAAGCCTGACTCTCTGTCCCAACATAAAGGGAAATTTCTTGTTGTTTTATGAAAAACTTTTGTGCAGGAAACATTTCAAACAGCGGCCAGGTGCAGCAACTTCTTTGCTGTAAATGAATGGTATCAATCTTCTCGTTTTTAGAAAGAAAGCAAATGAGCATATTCCCCAAAATGTGAAACTATTCATTCAAAAGAGAAAATTCCGGACCAAACTAAAAATAGCGTGTCACTTTGTGTTTTCACTTCAGTCAGTGTCACAAGACTGCAGTGCTATATGTGACATTATGTCCACATAGCAGCAATCAATTTTGTATGAGCTCCAACATGATTTCGATGGACAAATTTGGTTAGGTCCATTTCCCCTTTTGAAAGTTATTATATATTATTATTGTTATGATTATATATTATTGTGAGTAAAGTTTCATTCATTTTTCAGATCTCTCCAGATTTATTGGTTTCTCTTGCTCTTTTTGGAAAGTAAAAAACATTATATACACAGTCAATAACAAACAAGGATGAGCTTGCACAGCTAACTTAAGAGCCAGACATTTGACCAAAACACACTGGAAAAAATGACTTTGCATGGCACTATCTTGTCATCCGTATCAGAAAACAGGATGATATTTATAGGTGGGTAAGTGCACTGTCATCCACAGATGTGTTTTCCAAAAGGTGTATTCAGGGATGTGGAATTACATTTGAATTGCCCTCCCTGTTATTTTAAGATTGCAGAGAGATAAGAGAAGCACAGTACCTCTTCATGCAGGAGGTTAATATGTGTCTGTGCTCACTTGTCAAATGTAATTGAAGGGAACAGCTTATGAAAATGAGGTGGCAGGGACGAGGTCTTTAATTAGATCAAGATCATGGACAGAAATTACTCAGAATCACCACTCTCATTACCCACAGCAAAACTGGATGAGCAGGACAGTGAATACATGAAGGAAAACTTTAATATCTAATTGACAGTGTTGCTGTATAAATGCCGTTTGAGGGACCATTGCTCTATTATGTAGTGCCTCACTTGACCAAACCAGAATCTATAAGGGTATCTATGCTTATATTAGTATTAGTGTCTTTGTTGCTATATCTGATGGCTTATTTTCCTCAATAAGTCACTGCATTCGTTTGTGTGTAACCTTGTGCATGTTAAATGCTCAATTTAACCTAGATATCTGATGAATATTGCAACATAGCACTTCTACGCCATCTAGTGGCGACACTGCCGTTTAAAAGAACAAATAATGAACAGATGTACAAAACATTAAGCATAGTAACAGAAAATAAAAATAAAATGCAATTATTGCAAATTACAATAAAAAATGAACAATATGCCTATGTAAAATATCTGTTATTAAATACACAGTAATTGCAAATATGTCCACTAACGGTACAGTGACAGGACAACATAATTAACCGATTTCAATAAAGCATTTTTTAAAATAACGTCCATGGTATTACAATAACTTGAATTGACCTTGAAATACTTAATTTACTCCAATACAATATATATGTGACGTCATATGGTGAAAATATTTGGGAAACTGTCGCCCAGAGTACAGCCTCTCAATGAGTCGTTCTCGGCAACCTAACCCGAATTCATCCACCTGATTGGTGGATCCTGAGAGTCAACAGACTAAGTTTTGCCTGGCAGGCTGTGAAAAGGGCATATAGTCCTCCATGGAATCCTGAAACGAAGGAACACAAGCTGTACCGTAGAGAAGTGGATCAGCAGCTGAGACACGTGTTTGTACTGCAGCAGGAACGTTGAACCTGATGCTTCGTAAACAGAACCGGAGTTGGTTAAATTCAAAACAGTTACAAAAGTTAAACGCTACTTATCGACCCCGTCTTTCTCTGTACCGTTAGCTGTCAGGTAAGTATGTCTGGTTTGCAAGACATCCATGTTTGTGCCAGAGAGTCAGTTAACGTTACAAGGTTGAAGTTAAAAGGCTGCTAAGTTAACGTTGGTCGTTGTCGTCTCGAAATTGGTCATAATTAAGTCAGCTAGCTAACTTACCTGCTGTTCGTTGCTGTGTAAGTCACGCAGACTGTACATATTTCCCTTACCTCTGTCGGTTAACATTCTGGTATAACGTACATTTTGCAGAACTGGTTGTGACAAGCAATGCTTGCGGCAATTTGTAGACGATGTATAAGTTAACTAAGCCGCTCCAGTATAACAGCTTTATATAAGTATGTATCGGGTACTCCCTTAGTGACAATTAAGAAAAGGCATCATCATGTCATTATTAGTGGACTGAAGTCACCCAGAAAGAAGTCACTTGACATTTGCGTGCTGATTGGGTCGATCGAATTTCCCGCCGTTTCATTCATTATAATGTGGTTAAATGTTAAACCTGCAGTGACTGTCTTCTGTAACATACCAGCAGCTTAATTTAACGTTACTCGTTCAGTGTCACCATCCATTATGTGTCAGGATATTGACGTGAAGGAACAAATTCGAGATCCAGATGTAAACAAAGGTGTAGCCCACCTTCAAGTTTCAAAACACAGAAATGTAACGTGTGGACTGTGGTTCTCAAAAGTGGGGACCTTGAGTGGGTTCCAAGGTAAAAGGGTAATACTGTATTTTCATTGTAATTCCATCCATAAGTAGTACAATGACAGAATGTATGACTACTTGGGTCATGGGTTTCATACGCTTTCTGTAATAAAAAATCTAAAAGCAACAATTCCATCAGATGGGGGACTCTAGGACAAAATCTTATTAAATGGGGGTCTGTGGTTTAATTTGTGTCAGTTTAGGGGTCTTTGATGTGAAAAAGTTTGAGAACCACTGACCTGTTAGCACGCCAGTTTGACTGTGATTGATGTCTTCTAAGGCTGTTTCAACTTATGTAATATTACATGGCAAAAGTCTGAAAACACAGAGAAAAAAGGACTAAACCAGACCGCTAGATAACTGTGATCCAGTGAAAATTAATAAGCATCTGTAAATGTAGTTGTGTTATAATCCACTTGAGTAATAGAGTACATTCACAGCTCATAATGTGTATTGCATCAGCTCTTCATCACACATGTGGTTGAGCGACTTGTGTTGGAGGTGTTGTGCATAGTATTTTTGCAGGTTACTTACTGAATACTTGTCCCTTTGTTTTTGTGTTTAGTCTTCACATACTATGAAGTACATCCTGGTTACTGGTGGTGTCATATCTGGTATTGGTAAGGGCATCATTGCCAGCAGCGTGGGAACAATCCTCAAGTCCTGCGGACTTCATGTTACAGCCATCAAAATCGACCCATATATCAATATAGATGCGGGCACCTTTTCACCTTATGAACATGGTGAGTAATTGAGTGCATTCAACAAGGTTGCTTTTTATCCTCCTTGACGTGTCATCTGCTGTTTTTATCCAGTCCAGCAGTTAATATTTGGCAAGATGTGGTGGGGCAACATGTGGCATAGAGGGTAGACTGAGATGGGTGGCAAGGGGCAAGCTGTTTCCATACAATAGGTATTTATTGTTTCAGTGTGCAAAGCACTGCATTTCTGTCATTTTTAGATCTGCTTTTTCACTAACCCTATGATAAATTGATGTCTGTGTTGTGCAGGTGAAGTTTTTGTTCTAGATGATGGTGGGGAAGTGGATCTAGACTTGGGGAACTATGAGCGTTTCCTGGACATCCGTCTTACCAGAGACAACAACCTCACCACTGGAAAGATCTACCAGTCTGTCATCAACAAGGAGAGGAGGGGAGATTACCTGGGCAAGACTGTACAGGGTGAGTGAGTGCACCTACTCTAGATTGGTGCCAAAACATGTGTTCAGTGTTTCTTCAGACAGATAATTTGGCAAGAGCTGCATTTCCCTTACCAAGTATGTCCAGTGAGTAGTGTTGATTGGTTTTATGACTTTTATTCTATATTCTGTTTTCAGTGGTACCCCACATCACAGATGCCATCCAGGAGTGGGTGATGAAGCAGGCCATGATCCCAGTAGATTGTGATGGTGTGGAGCCTCAAGTTTGTGTCATAGAGGTAAAGTTGGCACTGTTTAGTACTGTTTTTCTGTTCACTGCAACATTTGTCATTTTAGTGGTATTACTTGAGTGTTTGTTTGACAATATGTACTGTAAAAGTATTTCAGCTTAAGTATATTTGCAGCCTTACCTCCACTAGTTCTTTTACTATGGCATGCATCAAAACCAGTCAGGTCAGGTTTATAGGCATAGTATAGCTGATGGCATTTTGCAAGTTCAAAGGATTATGCAAGGTGCTGATAACCAACATGTTTGTTCACGCATGCAACTCTTTGGTCAAAGCTGGTGTCTTTTGTCAGCAGCTGGGAGGCACGGTTGGGGACATTGAGAGCATGCCCTTCATCGAGGCCTTCAGACAGTTCCAGTTCAAGGTGAAGAGGGAGAACTTCTGCAACATTCATGTCAGCCTGATACCACAGGTATGGTACACATTTACTCATTTTTTAATTGTGTTGGAAAGGGGCTACAATTTGAGGAGATTTTTTTGTGTGTGTGTGTCTTCAGCCCAATACCACAGGAGAGCAGAAAACCAAACCGACCCAGAACAGTGTGAGGGAGCTCAGAGGACTGGGCTTGTCTCCAGATTTGGTGAGTCAGATTACAATTTGTTCTTAAACTTCGCATTCCCTCCTGCACCCCAGATAAAAACTCTCTTTATGTGTAGAAATCCATAACCAATAATTCTTTGTTACGTACATCTCATCAAACAAATACAATCTGACCTAAAATACAAGATATGATGTTTACATAGGAATCTTTGAGATTATTCCCATGTCCTGTGGGTATGTTATGATAAAAAATAAGCATTGATTCTTGTCAGATTATGTGCCGCTGTTCATCGCCCCTAGAAACGGCTGTCAAGGAGAAGATCTCCATGTTTTGTCATGTGGAGCCCACACAGGTGATGGGGGGGGTGTGTGTGTGTGTGTGTGTGTGTGGGTGTGTGTGTGTGTGTGTGTGGGGGTGTGTGTGTGTGTGTGTGTAAAACAAAAAAACACACTTGCTTTTTGCATGGAGCATTCTGCTAACATTAGTCAATACAGTTGTGCTCATAAGTTTGAAACCCTGGCAGAAATTCTGGCATTGATTTTTAAAATATGACTGATCATGCAAAATAACTGACTTTGCTTTAAGGATAGTGATCATATAAAGACATTTCTTTTTACATAGTTGTTTTAAATAATAATGATAACATAAATCACCCAAATGGCCCTGATCAAAAGTTTTCATACCCTTGACTGTTTGGGCTTGTTACAGACACACAACACAAACTGACACAGACAGGTGAAAATGGCAATTTAAAGTTAATTTCTCACACCTGTGGCTTTTAAAATTAGTGTCTGTGTATAAATAGTCAATGAGTTTGTCAGCTCTCAAATGGATGCACTGAGCAGGCTAGATACTGAGCTATGGGGAGCAGAAAAGAACTGTCAAAAGCTTTATAAAGATGGAAAAGAATATAAAAAGATTTCCAAAGCCTTGTAAATACTAGTCAGTACTGTTCAATCACTTACTAAGAAGTGGAACATTCTGGGATCTCTTGATTCCAAGCCAAGGTCAGGTAGACCAAAGATTTCAGACAAAACTGTGAGAAGAATTGTCCAGGATACAAAGAAAAACCCACAGGTAACCTCAGGAGAAATACAGTCTGCTCTGGAAAAAGATGGTTGTTGCAAGGAGCACAATATGATGGTACTTGAACCAAAATAGGCTGGATAAGTTGCCAGAAAGAAGCTTTTACTGCACCAATGCCACAAAAAAAGCCTGGTTACAATATGCCCGACAATACCTTGACACAGCTTCAAAAGCTGTGAGGCTTCACTAAAATGTTTTGGGGTGTGTGAGCTCTAAAGGCACTTGTGAAAATTGATGGCAAGATGAATGTAGCACGTTATCAGAAAATACAGGCAGACAATTTGCATTCTTCTGCACGGAAGCTGCGCATGGGACGCTCTTGGACTTTCCAGCATGATAACCCAAAGCACAAGGCCAAGTTAACTCTCCAGTGGTTAATGCAGAAAAAGGTAAAGGTTCTGGAGTGGCCATCACAGTCTCCTGACCTTAATATCATTGAGCCACTCTGGGGAGATCTCAAATGTAAGGTTCATTCAAGACGACCAAAGACTTTGCATGACCTGGGGGCATTTTGCCAAGATGAATGGGCAGCTATACGACCTGCAAAAATTTGGGGCTTCATAGACAACTATTACAAAAGACTAGATGTTTTTAATTTACTACATGTCATTGATGCTAAAGGTGGCAATACACAGTATTAAGAACTAAGGGGTATGCAGACTTTTGAAAAGTGGTCGGGTCATTTTTTTTTTCTTTGTAGCCATTTTTTGTTTTATGACTGTGCCATTCCGTTATGACCTACAGTTCAATGTGAATCTCATAAGAAATAAAAGTCATGTGTTTTGCCTGCTCAAGCATGTTGTCTTTACACATGGGATCTATATTACCAATTCTCCAAGGGTTTGCAAACTTTTGACCACAACTCTATCTGGTATAATCCATGTTGTCCCTACATCTGCAGCTGTGGTATTGTTTTGTTGTATTTTATCATACAAGAGGTATATAGTACATATAAGAACGACATGAGCTAAGTAAGGAAGGATAACTGCTACTTCATTGTATGCTAATATCAATTAGGATTGAGTGATACTTGATTAAATCATTTCCCGATGATGTGGGAATGTGACTGGCACTGGCTGGTCAGTTGGTCGGCTATCCACTGGGATGTAAGAGCCATGCAACTATATTGTTGCACCGTCCACTGCACACAAAGCTCCTCATGTACTCTGGGAACTTGTAGCCTCAAAAGGTGAGAATCCTTACAAATAAAAAATATTACAAAGGGCGGCACAGGTAAAGTTAACATACAAATGCTAACATTGCTGAAAAAAAAAAAGCTGAAAGAACATGTTTTCATAATTCTTTCCAGGTGATCTGTGTCCAAGACGTCTCCTCGGTCTACAGAGTGCCTCTGCTGCTGGAGGACCAGGGGGTTGTGAGCTACCTGTGTCAGCGGCTGAACCTGCCTATCGAGAGGAGGCCCAGGAAGATGCTCACAAAGTGGAAGGAGATGGCTGACAGGTGAGGAAGACTTAATTGTTAACTTTTTCTGTGCCTGTGTCTTGTTTAAAGGTTGAAAGGAAAAGCACACAAATCAATACAAATTATTAACCATTATCCGTTCTGGAACTATTAAGTCACTCAGGCACTTTGTCATCTCTGGGATTTGGGTTACAAACCAAAGAATGGCGAACTCTGAAAGACAAATGAAGAAGTGGTGCACCAGGTCAGTACCATGATTCATCTCTTCCTCTCTTCTCAGATCTGACCGTCTCTTGGAGCATGTTTCCATAGCCCTAGTGGGGAAATACACAAAGTTAGCAGACTCCTACACCTCCGTTATCAAGGCCCTAGAGCACTCAGCCCTGGCCATTAATCACAAACTAGAGGTCAAGGTATGAAAACATTTCACACTTTTGTTATTTTTTTTTAATTGATTTCTGGATTTAGCTGCTCTGCTTTGCAGTTTATGTGTTGATTGTCGTTACAAATACTTTTAAAACAGGCATAACGACTAATGTATGTTCCCATATGTATACAGTAGTTAGCCTGTTGGCCATGATGTTGACTGATTCCCTTCCAAATTATTACCACAGTACATAGACTCTGCAGACCTGGAGACTACCACTCTGCAAGATGAGCCAGTAAAATATCATGAAGCCTGGCAAAAGCTCTGCAGTTCTGAGTGAGTAGACAAAGCTGGGAGAACACAAGCGCCAATAAACTTGGACAATGTTGAATACTTGAAACTGTTAATATTAAGTTTTACACTCTGCCACATGATGGCAGCAGAGTGCTTTCACGCCTAGGGGGTTATCCAGCTTCATGACATTTTCCATGTTTTATTATTAGATTATATCTGCAATGTACTGTTAAACTCTAGATTGCAAAAATGGACAATTGTGTTATTGAAGCATTGGGTTTTTGTTTTATGAACTATTATTTCTTACTACATTATATCTCAAATGCAGAAAAGCAAATGCCGTCTAGATAGCAAGCTAGTTTAGTAGCCATTAGTATGTTATTGAACTAATTTACTAACCTGATGGTTATTACAGTAGCTGCCTAGCATGTTAGACTACCTCCAAATCTGGAGTGACAGAGGAATTGAAGACTAAAATCACTTTTCCCAATTATTTGTGATTTCTTATACATAACTGTCTTCAGGAAAATGATATTGTGTGAATGGGGGTATTGCAATTAATATCCCTTGCACACAAAAGCTTACAAGGAAGTACAAGTTATATTTCCATCAACACCTAACTACATCCATATTATTTTCTTTCTCTGCATAGTCTGCTAATACAAATTTGTGCTGGCAGCAGTCTTTCAAGAGGCATTTCTGTTTAGTCAAATAATAGATGTCATGTACAAGGGCTACTTTAGCTTTGTCTTTCTCAGTCTGTCTTTAGATATAAAAAAAGTGTTGTGACTGAATTAGTAATGTGTCTCTGCATACAGGTGTTTTAGATTGTGTAATGGTTGTGTCAACAATACTCTGGACTAATTTATGAGATGAACTGAGACCATCATTGCTTTCTTCCTTCCCACAGTGGTGTGTTGGTACCAGGAGGTTTTGGTGTGAGAGGGACGGAAGGCAAAATGCTTGCTATTAACTGGGCAAGGAAACAGAATAAGCCATTGCTGGGTAAACGAGATTCTACTTTGTCTCATAAATTCTGCATTCCACTTAATTATATCATATTTTTAAGATTTCATGCTATGAGCAAAACTGAGGCCTAGACATAAAACATGTCATTCCCTCCTTTTTGTCGACTATTGCTTTAGATATGGCAGTGCTTTTTGGTATTCAGATTGATACTTGCAGTACTGTAGATAAAAAAATAAATTAAATAAATTAAAAAAAATTAATACCTTCAGTGTCTCTAACCCCTAAAATCCACTGACTCCGTCTACGGCGTGTGTTATGGCTGCGCCGCGGTTGCCGGAGCTAATCGCGGCCATTAAAGTCAATGCTCGTGAGTCCACCAGCTGCGGTCGCAGCGCGTCTCAGAAGCGGCTCTCCTATTTTCGCTGCTAGCCGCGTCAAGCAGCACAGAGCAGATCGAACCAGGCAGGAAGTGAGACACAGAACGGCAGAGAGAATCCGGTCAATTTTCAAAATAAAACTGTGGAGACTCCTGATCGTAAAACAACAATAAACACGGTTAAAACGGACACAAAAGGAACTCATTAAACTACGTAGCCTACTTAATCATAGTAGAAGCACAAAATGCAAACACTGGTTACCAAATCAACAAAATCTAAACATATCATCAAAGTCATGCAGGCAAAATGCTCTGATTCTGAAATGCTCCCTGTGGGAAATGCAGCCTGAAGTTGACGGAACGAAACTGGGTCACATGTAGCTGTGAAGAAGGTAGCAGAAGCACGAAAATGACAAATTAATAACAAGTCAGTAAGGTGGGGCAGGCTGCACGCTCCGCTGCTGAAACGCTTCTGACATGCTTCCAGTGGACTTTGACGCGGGGCTATGGACGCATCAAAACCGTGGCGCAGCCGTAACGTGCCGTAGACGGAGTCAGTGGATTCCCGGCATAAGAAGTTATTTGCTGACACTGATTCCATTTTACAAGACTGAATCACAGTGGAGTTAATTTTTTGACAAAGGTTAATAAAAAAAGTGAAAGTAAAAACATACCCTTTAAATTAAATATCATAATAATAATAATAAATCACCACTGGTGCAGCCCTGATTATTTAGAAGTTGCATATTAGGTTCAGTGTCTATCATCTCTATGGCAGCAGCATGCCATGGGGATGCTTCTGTGCAACAAGCCCTGAAAGGTTTGTGAAGGGGCAAAATTAATTTAGCAAGATGCAGAAAAATCTATAAAAAAAGAAAAGCTGACACAGTGTGCCCAGGAACTGTAACTAAAATGCACTTTCCTGCAAAACATCAACCTGATATACAGAGCCACAGCTGTACAGAATGAAAAACAATGTTTATGTATTTGATAGCCACATCAGAGTCCAGAACGCAAAGTAATTGAGAAAATAAGGCATTTGAAAATTGCTGTTCAAGAACAATCTCCATGCGACTTTACCTGAGTTTGAGCAATTAGGCATAGACAAATGAGAAAATTTTGTTTTCAGGACCGTGCATAAAGTTGTTACAGACTGACACACTCCATCTATGAATATAGACCTGAAAGGCACTACTCAGTTGTACGTAATTGAGATCCATGTGCAGGGATTTATCAGACATCAAAGAATCATTTTTTTCCTTTGCTTAATTCATCTACTTTTCAACATTCAAAGTTGTAAAAATAATGAAACATGAAAAAGTCCAAAGAGAGATTAATATGTTTTATTAGCACTGTATAATCTTATGCAAATACTGTAGTGTTAGTCAGGTAAGTGGTTTGCACAGTGGGGATCTTGTTCAGTCCTTTATGTATGAATCCTTACAATAGCGCTCTCATTATGCAAAAATCCTGCTGGTCTTGTTTTGTGCAGGGGTATGTTTGGGCATGCAGCTGGCAGTATGCGAGTTCGCCCGCAATGTTCTCGGATGGGAAGGTGAGTAACTACGCAGTTCCGCTGGGGACACTGCTAAGAAACATTTGATTCCTGTGGTTTCTAATTTAATGATGAAAGAACCTTAGACCTGTTGGGCTGTCGATTTGAGTTTAGATCAGTTTCGCTTATCTTTTTCAGACGCCAATTCCACAGAATTTAATCCAGAATCCAAATACCCCGTGGTAGGTTATCTTTTTCTGTCATGCTCATATCACATCATATCAGCGAAGTCTTCACCAGAATGGTTTTACCATCCTGTTTTATCTCGACAGGTGATCGACATGCCAGAGCACAACCCAGGACAGATGGGTGGGACTATGAGGTTGGGGAAGAGGCGGACCATTTTCAAATCCAGCACCAGTGTATTGAGTATGTATCCACTTTAAATGAATGGTGGACTTGTTGACTTTTTGGTCTTTCCAGCTATTGTGTTGCTAATGACTGATATTTCATTGTTCTAGGAAAACTGTACGGAGATGTAGAATATGTTGAGGAGAGGCACAGACACAGATTTGAGGTAGAGACCAAAACACAGTTTTGAAGCTTTTTGTCTTTGACAAAAAGGTGTGGGGGGAAAAAAGCTGAAAAGTAAGAATGTTTTTAAAAAAAATAGACATTTTAATAGATTATATTTATAAATAAACACAATGCAAAGTGAGTGAACAAAAGAAAATCAAAATCAAATCAGTATTTGCCCTCAAAACAGTATCAGGTCTTCTAGGTACACTTGTACATCGTTTTTGCAGGAACTCAGCAGGTAGGTAGGCCCAAATGTCTAGGAACTACCCACAGTTGTTCTGTGGATTTAGGCCGCCTCAGTTGCTGCTCTCTCTTTATGTAATCCCTAGGGCTGGACTCAAATATTCGTTCATTGGATAGGTATTTGATTTTAAATTTTGGGATTCGATTATTCTGTCTTTTTTTTTTTTTTTTACCTGCTTTCATCAAAGGAAAACAAAATGCCGACGAACTCAGCTGTGTGGGAGCACTTCAAACTCAATGATGACAACGATAGGTGTGGCAGTTATGGTGTTTATTAATATTACAATAGCTTAATTTCATTACAGATCAAAACCATCAAATAGCCTACATTTTAAAGTTAATAGTAACTCAGTTAGTAAACTGTAGGCTATAACAAACAAACAACCATGTAATGAATACATTTAAATAATTCTATCAGGCGTATTGTAGAAGAACATTATTTAGTAGGCTATAATAAAAGTTAAAAGCGAATTTTGCATAATAACGTGTTATTTTAGTTACGCTACCGGAAACGGTGCTCATCCCTTCTGCTCTCCCTGGACCCCCTACCTGCTGATAATGTTGAGATCAGAGCTCTGGAGACCATACCATCACTTCCTGGACTCCTTGTTCTTCTTTATGCTGAAGATAGTTCTTAAGACCTTTTGCTGTATGTTTGAGGTCATTGTCATGCTACTGAATAGATTTGGGGCCAATCAGATGCCTCCCTGATGGTACTGTAGTACCTGTATCTGCCTGTATTGTTCAGCACTGAGGAGACCAGCAATTCTGACCAAATCCCCAATTCCGTTTGCAGAAATGCTGCCCCAGACTTGCAAGGACCCTCCACCATGCTTCACTGTTGCCTGCAGACGGTCATTCTTGTACAACTCTGTAGCCCTTTGGCAAACAAACTACCTTCCACTGCAGCCAAATATTTAAAATTTTGACTCATCGGTCCAGGGCACCTGCTGCCATTTATCTGCACCCCAGTTAAGTGTTTTCATGCATAGCCTTGTTTTCATGTCTGTGATATGACAATTTGGCCACAGGTATGTTCCTCACCCAGTCATCCTACATAGCTATTTTTGTTTCAGAAAATTATTGCGTCCTGACTTTGTGCAAGTGTACCTTGAAAAATGTATGCTATTTTTGAAGGTACTCACTTCACTCACTTTGCATTTTGTTTACTGATAAATGGAATCTGTTGACATGTCTATTTTTGACAGCATTCTTAATATACAGCTTTTTTTTTTTTTTTTTTTTTTTTACACCTGCCTAAAACCTTTGCACAGTACTGTACTTTTGCCTGTTCATGTTGCAGGGACGTGAGGTGACCTTTTACTCTCTGTGCTTCTCATCTTTGTGTCCAGATCTAGTGTTGAAGTATTATAAGATCAAAACCTTATTTCTCAGAAGCCTTCCCTGACTCATTGAGTCTTTGCTCATTGTAGGTGAACCCTGAGCTGAAGCACCACTTTGAAAAAAAGGGTCTTCAGTTTGTCGGCCAGGACGTGGAAGGAGAGAGAATGGAGGTCATTGAATTAGAGGGTGAGTGGAACTATTAAAACCAAACATCCACATGCTGTTGCTAATGAATACATGTTATATATATGCTTTCACCTGCCTGATCTTTAGAATGTACTCCTGCCATCTTTACTGTTTCTTAAACATGCTTTGCGTGAATTTATCCTTCTTTGTTACATGTATAAATGTTAGCGATGTGTTTTTAGACAAGCCGCATGCTAACTGGTATATGTAGCCTTATGTGGTGAAGGTCAATATATCTGTAATAACTGACCTCTCTTTGATATTTTAGATCACTGTTACTTTGTTGGAGTTCAGTACCATCCAGAGTTCACCTCAAGGCCCATAAAACCTTCTCCTCCATACTTTGGTCTGCTGCTGGCTGCTGCTGGAAAACTCCAGAGCTACCTGACCAAGGGCTGTCGCCTTTCTCCTCGGTAAGCACTGTGGTATTTAAATGTTATTTAGTGGAACCACAAAATTACAGTATGGTGCACCAGCATTACACATACATTATACAATAAATTTAAATTGAAGTGTAGAATTGTAGTGCTCTGTTTTTAATTTTTTTTTTTCCTCTGCACTGGCTCTGGAATCAATGTAAAACTGGGCCTTTTTGGAGTGTCATCAAATCACATTTAAACACTTTTTTTCATATTTAATCTCTTAACTGATATGAATGCTGATTGGTTAAAATCTAAGATCTACCTAAACTTTGAGTGGTAAATTACGTAAATGGGGAACTTCAGCATCTTATTTCATAGTGTATAATGTATTATGCATCATTGAATTTAGTTGAATTGTCAACATAAATCAAAATTTACGAGCATATTTTTATTCAGCGTCATAATCTCCTGTATTATTATGCAATGTAATTACATCAAAAGACCCATGGGTATTGCAGCTATAATTTACAGTTATCATTGTGTCATGTCATCATTGCACCTGCAATCAGAAATAAAACAATCCCTGTCAGGCATTATTGCTATAATACTAATTTTATGTATTCATCTCCCATTGCAGGGACACTTACAGCGGCAGCAGCGGCAGCAGCTCTCCGGAAGTAGACATCTCTGAGCTGAAGTTCCCCTCTTAGTCCTAAATCTAAAGCACATGTCGTCGTGTGTGTTTGTGTCACGCATGCAGATAAATGCTTAGAAAAGAGCTGATCTGCCCTTAACTGACAGAGCAAAACCACTTTGACTAAACTGTTTTTAATACTCCGATAGGTACAAAATGTATTATATCTTTACTTTTTTTCTAAAGGTAAAGGGATGTCTTTGCGTCAGCTCTGTGGGGCTTTAAAGTTGCTGCAGTAAGCGAAAGCTGGAATAAAGTGTTTATGGGGGAATTGTAAGAAAAGATGTGGACATTGTGGAATACCTTTGTTGAATGGAGAAAAGATATGAATAGGGTGAGACATGAATTGGAAGACATCAGCTTATCAGTATACCGTATGTGCATTGTCTTGAAACGAAAGATTATGATGCTTGGGTAAAACTGAGACTTGACTATAGACATTTGGGACTATCTCAGAATAAGCAGATCAGTTTGACAGAAGCATCGCAACAGTGACAAAAGGTTAGGTTAGGAATCGGCGTCTGTGAAATCCGGTTTCTTGTCAGAGCAAACATCCTGCATATCAATCCAAACCAATGTATGAAAACACTAATAAGAAACATGACTTCGTACAGTTGTTTGCGACTTGTACCACCAAAGTCTTGTATATCATGACAATTAGACATATCATTGATACATTTACCTCTTTTAATGTTTGTTATTTTATGTTACAATTTTATGTGTTTAATATATTTATCCTTTCAAGTTTAATGAGCTTAGACATAAGCGTTATGACACAAGTGTATAAACTACATGCCATTCTGGTTACAAATAATTTTACACTGGAGTGTACATGCAAGTCTGTACGAGTGTGAGATTTAACTGGACCACAAAGTTGTGCTTTTGTGAGTGGGGTAAGAATTTTTCTGTCTTAGTGAATTGTTTAGGCAGCCCAAATCACCAGGAGTATGGGTTTTAATTTATGCATGAACATTATAATAGGCAAATTTGTGCACTTTGGGTGTTTTTAGACCTTAAACCTGAACTCACTAGTTCAGGTTGCATGACTTTTATGTTTGAGACATTTTGCCTGCTGACATCAACAATAATGGTTTTGACATCTGACTCAGAATTTCCTAAAATGAATGCATAGTCATCTGATAATTGGGCCAACTTAAAGTTACCCTTAGTCAACAATATTAACTGACAAAGAAAGCTTGGCATATGAGATCTGATACAAAAAAAAACTAGATTTGAGCTCAAAACATCAGTAGCAGCCAAGTGTAGATGATATGCATCAAGCTTGCAAGTTACATTTTCGCTTGTTGGCTTGGCAAGTAATAACTAGACCTGGGTATTTCAGACATTGCTGCTAATGCCTTCATTTATCTGTTGACCCAACTGTATGAAAAAGTCATATTGTGTATATTTATGATGTCCAAATGCATGGGATGGGATGTGTGAGTTCATTCTGAATAAATAGATTTTTATTCCTCTTGTCTTTATTCTAGTGGAGCTGAGAATTTCTGCTTTTTACCACTGACACTTGAATTTTGAAACTGTAAAGCAACATACAGTCACATGTCTTACAGAGATTGAAACGCTTTGTCTTCATTGATAGCACTGTTTTCAGTGTCCTTTGGCATTACTTGAAACCTCTGGTTCCCAGTGTATTTATTTACATACAAAACAAAAAGTCTAAAGCCACTCAAGCAGCCCCTAGAGGCCATCCTAGTCATTGCACCTCAAAATGTCAAAAGGTAGCAGCTTAGGTTTACAGAAATAATGTAAACAAACTTGTCTAGCTGACTAAATTCATGCAAGTGAAAAGGTAGTCATCACTAAAACATTTCATTTAAATATAGCATTATGCCTCAAACCTATTGTAGAACTGCATATCCTGAGCCTTTCCTAGCATTTCCCAGGGGATGTAAATCTGTATTGTTATCAACTTCTCTTTTTATGTGGCAATGTACACTCTACAGACAAGATCATAAAGTCTGAAGATAAGAATTGCAGAAAATTGTGGGCAAACAGTTCACTCACCTTTACTTACTATGATTGTTAATGATATGTATCTATGAGCTGGTGTCAGCAGGAAACTCCAGTTTGATTTTATATGTAAATACACTACTTCCTTATTACCCGTCCCGCCTCCCCTTTCTCCCACATCTGGCCCTCCCTGTGTCCTTGTGCTCTTGCCCCACCTTTTATCAAGTATCAACAAGCAAACTTTAGAAGTCCACACCCCTGCATAGCACACTCATGCGCATATTTACAGTAGCAGTAAGGATCAGCACCTCAGACGAGAACGGCAGCAATACTGGGCTCTACTTTGTGGGACATATTTTTCTACATACGTGCTTTAGAGGATTTGACGAACCACCACGGGAATGAGACTGAGGGACTTTTGCTGCAGCCACCAATGGCATAGGAGTTTGGGATGACTGTGAACACAGACTGCTCTACTGATTGTGAGATTTATAAGGAGTGGCTGCTGTGGTTTCTCTACATTCCCCTGTCTTCACCCCTCTCTTCCCACTAACCGCAACAATGGACCTGACTTTGTGGCAGTACCAGTTCAGGATCATCATGTTGGGGGACTCCACAGTGGGCAAGTCCTCCTTACTGAAGCGCTACACTGAAGACTTGTTCCTGGAGACCATTAACCAGACAGTTGGTGTAGACTTTTATGTTCACTTCCTGGAGGTGGAGCCGGGTGTCCGTGTCAAGCTACAGTACTGGGACACAGCTGGACAGGAGAGGTTCAGGTGAGGATGAAACCTCTTGTGAAAAATGGGGACATGGTGTCTGTCTTTTACATTGGACCTAATCATAGCTTAACACCAATCCAAATGCAAATTTCTGATTCTTGGATTCTGTTCTATAACTCATTGTATAGTAAAAAGCACAGTTCTTATGATGAAAATTAAATAAATGACTCATGTGCATGCAAATATATTCAAATAAACTACCACTGGTTATTTCATTCACACAGGAGCTGTTCATCAGTGTTTGCTTTCAGCTATGACCCTGTCACCCTCACAAGATCAGTGTGCAATGTGCACAGAGATGCAGTATGTGTAATGCTTTATGTGGAAATAGGCATTATTCTTCTTGCTCAGCATATTTAATAAAAACACTAGGAGTAACATGTTTCATTATGTCTCTAAATTCATTATTTCAGTTCTCCAGTTGAATGAACTGTAGCAAATTGCAAACTGTGCCTGTTTGTATTTACCTCCTCTCTGCATGATATCTCTAGCTTGCTAATCCCACATGACTAAGCTAAATGCTCAGCCAAATCCGGTTTGAAGCATTCTAATGAAGAAGTATGTTTTTACCAACTGGCTGTTGCACCAAGCCTTTCCTTTGGTTTAAACATTCAGTGACTCATGGGGGAACTATGTGCCTCTTGACAGTTCCATCATTAGGGTGAGAAAAACACAGTGGTTTATCAATTTCTTACAAAGAAACAGACTATTTGTCAATCAGCTTATCTAAAGCTTAACCCAAAAAGTGCAGAGGATCAGCTGATTATTTGCTCACTGGAACAGGAAATAAGTTAGTGGCAAAGTTGGAACTCTGCACTACCCACTGACGGCTATGGGAGGTTTTCATGTGTTGAAATTCAAACCTCCACCCACCCCATGTCTCTCTCCTTTCCTCAGGTCAGTGACCCGGTCTTATTACCGCAACTCGGTCGGAGGCCTGCTGGTGTTTGACATGACCAACCGAGCCTCCTTTGACCATATTAAGGAGTGGCATGCTGAGGTGTGCGAGCGGGTGCAGCCGCATAAAGTCCTGTTCATCCTGGTGGGCCAAAAGAGTGACCAAGATGCTCAGGGAGAAAGGGTGGTGAGCCAGGAAGAGGCTGAGAAACTGGCCGGACAGCTAGGGATGCCATACGTGGAGGCCTCAGCCAAGACAGGCCAGAACGTGAGGGATGCCTTTGAGCTGCTGACTCGACGTGTCTACCAGGGTCTGTTGAGTGGAGAGGTAGAGCCGCAAGAGGGCTGGGATGGAGTCAAGTGCGCTGCACCACAGGCGCTGCAGTTACAAAGAGCAGTCCTGGCAAAGCCTAGCACAGCCCCCAAGAACAAAAAGAAGTGCTGTGATTAAACTGTGGGCTGATGGTGGTCACCCATACACTCATGTTACTGTAGAGCCAAAACCAGCCCCTAGGAAGTTGTATTTGTGGCAAAATTATACTGTAAAAATGTGGATATCGTAAAACACTTAGATTTGAAATGCATTGTTTTGCACCTTTGTTGTGAAGATAGAATCTTAAGCATTGATTTGAGAAAACACTCTGGGACTTATTGATGATACTTTGACATTCCTGAAATAGGTGAAGATTTAACTTCATAAATGACAGTTTTGTTTAACTGTTATTTTAAGCCATCATAGTGGCGTGGCAATGTTAAAAACTCACTTTGGTGATTCCATGACTTTTCATCTAGCACCACTAGCAGGTTGACATTTAATTTTGGGTGAAATGTCTCAACAATTTTTAGATGGATTGCTGTGAAATTTGCTACAGGTGTTCAAGGTCCCTAAAGTTTTCATGTAGCGCCATTATCAGATCAAAATTTTAATTTGCCCAATACTTGGGCTTGTGTTTAAATAGCGGCAAAACTAATGACATTCCTATGAGCCTCAGCTGTACTTTTCCCTGCAAATTGTCAAATGTTAGCCTGCTAACAGGCTAAACCAAGATCGTGAACCTGGTAAATATGACCTGCTTAACATCAGCATGTTGACATTATCACTGTAAGCATGTTAGAATTTAGCTCAGTGTGCCTTCTTTCAGGATTACTGAGGTGCTAGCATAGCTACATTTAGACTATTATTTAACTGCAACATCTATAGCTTTTTTTATTTATAGGATCTTGAAAAAGTCGACAGGCAGGTTCACTCTGTGTGAGATCCGAGGTCCACAGCTGACCAGATTAACATGGACTGATGAGGTTGTTACCTCAGTTCAGGGGGTTGCAATGACGACATACTGAGCCAAAACCATTAGTGTTGTATGTGACTGCATCACCGTGCTTTCAATCTACAAGGGTTGGGATGCAATCACATCTTCTCTTTTTGTGGACCTCAAGACCTGTACAGTAGAAAACTGGTTGCCAACCTGGGCATCCTGATGCCCTTTTTATAGTGCATTTTTGTTTTACTTACAGCCTAAATGTTGTATTTTGTCAGACTGCTCACAGCTCATGCCCACACACAAGGCTGTAACTTGTGATGACGAGTTGCAAGTAAGCTCTGGTCAAAAAGGTTGGGAACAACTGCACCAACATTTAGCTTTTTTCTCACAGAAATTTTTGTTTTTCTTGCCCATGTTGTTCATTCTGTACATGAATGGCAGCAGTTAAGGTATTAGGTCCCTTGGTTCAGATTACAAACATCACCCTAAGGCTCTATGTGAATGAATATTTTGGGCCAGAGTAGTTTTCTGGAAAAGGCTTTGTTGCATCGTCAATAATTGCACTGCATCCCGTGAGTGAGTGATTGTTTTCAGGTGCTGTTGTTGAAATTAATGGAATGAAAACTCTAGGGTACCTTTAGATATGGTTCTTTTGAAATGTGAGAGGTTTCTATTGCAATTACTGTTCATCTGGCAGATGAACAGCCTCCTGTGTTTCTGCAACCAGAACACATACAATTGATTATACTACTAAGACACCCAGATTAAAGATTCACACAAGACAGGTTGTCAACTGTTTGTATACTGGTTTGTGTCTTTGGTTCTCTGCAAATACACAGTGAACTGATTATATTTCATAATTTTAAATATTCTGCCTCCAAAAAAAGTGCAGTCATCTACTAAGATAACCAGTTGCAAGCACTAAAAATGAACTAGTTACTAGAATTAGTTACAAGCTATAATCCTGGCCTACAAACTCAAACAGAACCCTTCCTTACCCTTCCAGTGGCTAACTTTTTCTCAGTTCAGTCGGCAATAAATGCCATACTCCGAAACATCTGTGTTTAATAATATCAGTAATTTATTTATTTTTTAATCTGACAGTGTGAAAAGTCAACATCCGGGGAACTTCTATCATTATATTTGATGCATTATTCTGAAAGAGACCGAAGTAAAAAATTAAATTTACAAGAATGTTTGAAATAAATGTGTTAATGTAATAAAACCTACTACATTCAGTAATAATACAGCACATACATGTCTAACAACATAGACAAAGAATCGAGTTGAGAACTGCATTTGTGGCCGCCATTTGCAGTAGGAATTTGGTATTATTGACCCTCTTTTTATTAAAAAAAAATATTAACAACATTGTACGAGTAAACAGGGGAGCCATAATCTCTTACATACTAAACGGTTATTATTATTTATTATTGGCAAGATGACAACAAATATTCATTTTAAGGAGGCAGAGGTAACATTCACATCCAAATGTTCTAGAGTATCAAAAGGTAAACTGGAGACAGCAGTGGTCATCATCCAAAAGAAGTATTCCAGTAAATGTTTATTGACAAAAATGCAATGTATAGTTCTGCCAGGTTTAGCTTAATGGAAACAAAACAGAATCAGAGACAAGAATTACATTATTGTGTGATGGTGCTGGCAAAACACTAAAAGGTCATGACAATAACACACTATCTAATGTCAAAAAAACAACAACACCCAAACCATCTCTTTCTTCTTCATTAGTCAAAAACAATCCCAATAGGAAAGGATCAAACTAAAAACCAAAAAGAAAAGAGAATGAACAGAGTGGGTACAACATATTGGTGTAGCCTTGCTACTTTTTGGTTGTCTTGCGGATAAGCGCCATTCTCTGAAATGAAAACAAATGTAAACAGTTAGAACAGTTGTAATTTTCATCTACCCATGTACACTCTACATTACCATTAATAGGAATATTGTAACATGTCCAAAAGAAACAAAGCCTTCTATTCTCACCTGTTTGTGAGCCTCTGTGGTACAAGCCTTCTTGAACGGCCGGATCTCATCTGAGCCATAACCAGGAATCCACATGTTCCACTGGCGCTCTGGGAAAAGCAATGCACAATGTTAGCCGGACACCAGCTGTATGAACTAGTCAGGACTCCTAACAGATATTCAGTGACATCACTTCAGAAATCTAACAAGGACATTTGCTTTCAGGGCTATATTTCCTTGTTGGTTCTTCAGTCTATCAGCAGAAGTGTCAAACTCACAAGAACTAACTTCCATCTTGTTTCCAAAAACTGTTAATAATGTTGTCAGGGCTATAAAGCAAATAATTTCACCTTCCACAACTGTCTTGACTATCCATAACTTTGCTTTAAATTGAACACAGCAAAGCAGCAGAGACTACAGTGTACCAGCCAATCATTTAGTATCCATGTTACCCTAAAACTACATTTCTTGGGAGGCTTTTGCATTTTATGATTGACTGTTTGCAGTCAAAGAGCACAAATTACTTTAAATCAAGGGTGGAAAACATGGCATTTTATTGGCATAACATTTTCAACGATCTTTGTTTTTGTATTTTCTGTACAACACATGGATCCACGAAGGCTTCCTTTTGAGATGGCACCTGTCAGAAGATTCAAAAGGAATAAATCTGCTCCGTTCAATTTTCTTGGTCATTGAAAGATCATTGTTGTGGATACAGGTGATGGTAGTTGTCAATTTAAATACACTTTTGATACAGTATTGTTTTTTTTAAATTGACAGGATTGGTAAATACATTTTTACATCAAATGTAATGGTCATATTTGAACATAAATATCATTATGGATAAAATTAATGGGATAACATTTAGGGCTAAGAAATGAATGAATCACACATCAAATCTGCATGATATGAAGCATCATCATGAGATCATTTTTGAAAGCAATTATCCACCAGTGATTACAAGCTGACCATCATATCATGTATTCTTGAGATTTTCTTACTTGAGACACACTAAACCCACCCTTACACATTAGGTACTCCAACCTTTGAAAAAAGCCAACAGCAACTTACCAAGATGTAACTGAACATCCTTCACCTCCAAGGTGTTGGACTTGCGATGGCGTGCCAGTTGACAGGCCGCTGTCACTACACTCTCTATAAAGTCATCTGCAATTTGTAGCAGCATCTGAGAAGGAACAGGCATTTTGAAAACCATCAATCGCGTTCAGTAAAGGAGAACAACATTTCACACCGGCTGGAAAATCCCTCATATTTCTAGCTGCTCAAACCATTTATCATGCAGCCAGACTTTCAATAGAATAATATTTCCAAATGATGGATGTGGCAGTATGTTAGGGAAGCTTTAGAGCAACAAGAACCTGGAGGAAGCAAGTGGTATTAATTTCACACCAAAAGCTCCCCTGCTACTTATGTTTACTACGCTTACGAAAAAAATCAAAGTGCAGATTTGATTCATAACTGCATATAAACCACTGACAGACCTCCTCAACATCTTCATCCAGCTGCTCATTTGGATCGATCTCTCTCACCAGGTCCTGAAGCTTCTTCTTACTGAGCACCTGGAAATATAGCAGATGTATCCATTCACTTCATTACAAAAGAGAACAGGTGTGCAGATGTTGTGTGCCCTCTACAGTAGTCTAATGACTAAATGCAAAAATGACAACGGGGAACCCACAAGGCTTTTTTTTTTTTTTTTTACATTTAAAGATGAGACTCAAAATGAGCTATGGGGCTGAAACATGATTAATAGCGAATGTTGTAAAAGAAAGTGGAGCCAGAGGGACTGTAATTAGTAGACTGTGAGTCTGTTAGAAAACTGCACAACCTGGGCTAATATCAAAATGATGCAATAAATCAACACACAACGTATATGAAATGTTACTGCCTAAATTCTTCTTTCTTCTGGATAACATACAGTTATCCAGAAGAAAGTGTCAGTGGGACTCTATACAGATGCTGATGCAGCAACCCAACAGAGCCCAGCGGCAGCAGAGTTTTGGGTGTGGTGAGTAAAAAAAATGAACTGACCTGAGATCCCTCTGGACTACTTCTGCCAGCAGGGCCTGGGGGCATAACCTTTACTGCTGCTGCTGTGCTGTTAGCCATACTGGTGGCCACAGGAAAGATGGGTCTACTCTGGAGTTTCACAAGAGGCAAAACTGTTGTTTACACCTGTGTGTGTCAGAGTACTTAGTGACAGTCCAAGATGAGCACAGTGAAGGATTATCTTTTACAGGGACCACGTCCGTATATCTGGGGAAAACAGAAATGAACAGTTGTACAGTGTACAAATGTACAGTGAAGTACAAAAAATAGCATCAAAGAGGCAATGCGTTGATAAACCTGCTAGCATAATCTTTATGAATAAGCCATTTATTAATGTTAGTCTTATATTTTGTTTTCCCAGTCCTAACATGTATTATGTACTCGATTAGTTTATTTTACTCGTTGATTTTATAATCTTTAATTTTTTATTTTTGCCTCATCGTTTATATTTAATCGCAGTGCTGATGTTTTCATCTTTCCCCCATGTAAAAAAAACCCTTTGTTTTGAACAGTGCAGTAGAAATAGTTACTATCAATATCAGTCTTATTAGATACATGAAGACACATAACGTTAACCGTAAACAACACTGAAGGATCTACTCAAAATATAAACCAAGTTAGCTAAATAATACCACACACGTAAAATAAAAAGATCAGACAGTAAACTATTAAGCGGCCGTGCAGCTTCAACCAACAAAGCAAACAAGTAAAATACCTTCGCTAACATGATGATATGTGCTAAAAACAATAGCAGCTATCAAGCTTTGAATTTAGCCGGACAGGCTAACATTAGCAGCTAACCTAGCGGCGCGGCTCTGTGCACGCTGCATCCTAAAATTACGCTCTAAATGGTCAACTTACCCAATTAAACAAACACTATCTGTCCATGTTTCGGCGTCGTTGCGACGACAATGACTGAGTCTGATACAGAAAGACGTCTTCAAATAGACTCTACACAGCTAGAAAAATCACCGAACAAATATTTCAATACTTCCGCTTTGTTCGTGTCCATTTCCGGTGGCAACATTTCAAATCTCCTCTGCCATCTGCTGGAAAGTTTGTATAACTACACAAAGATTAGTAAACTGATTTTCATTAATAAAACCGACCTCTGGTCCCAGAGGATACAGTGCTGTGAACGCAAACACGCTAGATAATTATACAAGGACAGGAATGGTGTAGACCTTTCCTTGAATTAAACAATGAATAAACAAACAACAATACAAAAACAGGATGTCTATGAAGATTCTCAGTCATCCAGGTCATAGTTATCCAACGAAGGTTAAAATGAAGGGCAACTGGACTTGGTTGAAGATACTGGAAGACGTTTCGTCCCTTATCCAAAGGACTTCTTCAGTTCTGACTGACTGGCAGGGAAACTCAGCTATTTAACCTCAGTGGGGTCGTTATCCCGGGTCATCGATACCGCTGGTTCGTTAGTGTTCCTTGTTGCTGTGACGACAGTCGTTACAGTCGTTGCAGTCGTTGAGACTACCTGTGGCCAAGACTGAACGACCATCGTTGGTATCTTCACCTGAGGCCAAGACTGAACGACCATCGTTGGTATCTTCACCTGAGGCCAATAGGTTACGTTTGTTGAGTTTCCTGGGAAGTGATGAAAGGACAGCATTGTAAGTGGGGGATAAGTGGTGGCGTAGACCCCCTCCCCTGTTCAATGACGGCTTCTCAACCCTGGTGTAGATGGCTTCCTTGACACCTCTTTCAAACCATCCATCTTCTCTGTCTAAAATGTGCACCTGGTACAAAAAAAAAATACAAAAACAATATAACTAAACAGGCAATACAAAAATAGACAGAAGTCTATACCATTAATAACAGCTTACTAATAATCATAATAGCTTATTACTAATAATACGTAAAATAATGACAATAAAGCATGTTCATAAAGCCAACATAATTTTAAGAAAATTCGTTTATTTTCTGGTAAGTAAGCTTATTACAATGCAAACACCAAAATTTATGAATATATTATTTGTCACTAAATGAAGTTATAGATATCCTAGCAGTGATTATCATTTACATAAGGAGATCAAAGAATTCATAAAATGTGCCCGCCTACTCTCCCAAGAATATGAGGGTCCTCCATCCATCCATCCATCGTCAACTGCTTATCCTGCGTACAGGGTCTCGGGGGGCTGGAGCATATCCCAGCTGACACCCTGGACAGGTCGCCAATCCATCGCAGGGCCACACATAGACAAACAACCACTCACGCTCACACTCACACCTAAAGACAATTTAGGGTCACCAATTAACTAGTCCGCATGTCTTTGGACGGTGGGAGGAAGCCGGAGCATATGAGGGTCCTATTTTCAGCCAATTGTTAAATATAGGATACACATTTTTAAAGATAAGGTTACGACTGTGTATGGCTTTAGGTAGCGTACACAAATAGACTTTTTTTTTTGTTACACTGACAGGTATTTACTCTACATCTTTCTAACATGTTTTTTATTTGTACCATGTTCCAGCAGAATAGCCTCGCTATGTAAACCTATGGTGGATGCAGCAAGTCACATAGAGTGAAAGTGAATATTTTAGGCTTTGTCAGGTAGTAGTTAGTTGAAAGTTATGACTCTGTAAGCATTTTAAGTCGGCGTACTCTGCATTATGAGACCATTTGACAGACCGAATTTCTTTCGATCCTGTCTCATTTTCAGCTCAGGTTAACAGCTAATCAATCAAAGGCCGCAGCAAATGAAGCGTAAAATGTTTGCTTGTTCGGCTTTACATATCACACCGTGATATCCCGAAGCTCTGCGGGCCGGGGACGTTTCAAGACCTCTTTCAAATTCTGTTGAACTTGCTCAGAAAAATACTGATGTCAACAACAAAGCTCAGGCTGAAAACGTGATAGCACCGATTCCTGTTAGCTACAAATGACGCACTGTAACTGAATTCGATTAGCCTATCAGATCTGCACAGTGCCTTTAGTTCACGGATCGCACAAACAAACAGTATTTCAGGCGTATGCTCCTCAGCAAAAGAGAGCCATACGATAGTTGAAATAGGCAATAAGGCTTACTGGGCAATCCCGGCTATAAAATGATTTGGATGGACAGTATATTATTGATTTCAGAATTTCAGACTGCTTTGGACCCACTTCCTGAAAAACACCAGACTGAAAGCCACACCCACTTCTCACATAGATAAATACAGAGCAAACTTTCATTTCAGATTACAAGCTGCGTAGGACTGCACACCATTTTTCTGATACTGCGAAGGTTTTCCAAAGTCATGAAAGTAATTGTTGTTGTTGCAGTGGTCGCCCTGGTGCATGGCAGTTATGGTAAATATGTTTATTTTTTCTCATCGACTCTTCTACAATCTTCTGAAAACATTAACTTTTATTGCCCCTCTGAAATTAGATATTGGTTTAATATTCAAGTCTGTTTCTGGTCTTTTTTTTTTCCACAAAGAGATTCATACAGTTTGCTGGCCCTGTGTGTGTGTGTGTGTGTGTGTGTCTACCTGCTTTTCTGTCAGCCTGCCTGTCTGTTTCTGAGTTTGTTTGTCCTCCAGAGAAACCGCTTCATTTTCTCTTATTTCACACTGATGTGATTCCCCTGGTGGTTACAAGACTCAGACAAAAAACAGGAAATGTTGGTGGTTTTAACAAGGGACCCAATAGAAAAACAGCTAAATATTTGTATGTATACACACTGTATGCAGAGACCTGTATCCATAAAATTCAAAGCTTAACTGTGAAGAAATAATGTAAATGGTCTGTTGTTGTGTGTTGTAATTGTTGCCTAATGTGAAAGACAAAATGCCTGTGTCGTCACTAGTGTCAGTGAGGAGGAAGAACCTGTCGCTGGTCATGTGGCCATTGTGACTTTGAGAGTATTGGCAGTTTTCCAGCTGGAACCTGAAACAAATGTCAGGAAAGGGAGAGGTTGTTTTGAAAGTGTTGCCCAGAGCAGCAGCTAGATCCCCAGCGCAGGTCAGCCCCCTGCCTGTTCATGTTGTGATCAATAACCCGCGTCTATAATCTCTGTCCACATGCAGCCACTTTGCTTATTAAAGGGCCAACCCAGCCGGTCCTGGAGGGAGAGAGTATCACACTGGAGTGTCTGTACTCAGACTCTGAACTCAACATCAGCCAGGTCCACTTTGAAGTCTATTCCAAGGTGAGCCATGGGAGCAAATGGGTAGGTGGGTGTGAGAGGAAACACAGGGAAGAAGTGGTACTTTTCAAAAGATCAGGACCCTCCTCTCACCATAATGCTCAAGAGCTTTATTGTTATTATTTAGTTTATTCTAAAATTAATGTAAAATATTCTCAGTGATTTAGTAACTCTTGTAGTAGTGGGAAAAGAAAGATTCATCTTTTTTATATTTGTTTAAATACAGGCGGACACTGTACATAAGAGTGCCTCCTGAACAGTGTGACATGTCATAACATTTGTTGCCAAAACTAATTTGCTGTTGTTCTTCCTAAAAGGGCAGTCTGCTGTTCAATGTAAACATCACCTTGAGCAGCTGATAATTTTGTTACTTTTAGATTAGGATTATCAAAAGTGCATATAAATTGACAACTACCATCACCTGTATCCACAACAATGATCTTTCAATGACCAATCTTATTTGTTTCCCTTACCAGTACATGCAGGGCTGGCGTTCAGTTTGGGAGCGATCTTGGTGCTCCTATATGATGCAAATCGAGCGGACTGCAGAGAGTCTTGTCCTGTCCATCTCCCATGCAGGAAGGTACTATGAGGGTCCCTACCGCTGTGTTTCTGACGCAGAGAATGTGACTGCGCCAGACAGCATCTCCCAGCCGCTGGACTTCAAAGTGCATTGTGAGTGCCCGGGTTGACATGGGTAGGAACTGTGTAGGGGCTGTCTGCTGAAAGTCTGTGGAACAATGACTCTGTGACACAATATTTCCCTTTTGCCAAATGAACTATGTTTTGTGTGCAGGAATCTGACAATATGCTATAAAAATGTGACATGCATGTCAGATACGCAGCTTCTGAGTTTCACTTTACAAACAGGACATGCGTGGCATAGCTGAGAGTACTGACATTACTGACAAAGGCGGAAGTGTAAAGAACACATCTATGGACATTGGTAAACAGTCTAGGTGATAAGGCAGAACAGAGAGACTCTGAGACCTTGCAATTTCCTCATATTTCTAACAAGCAGGAGGTAAAAACAATCTTTCAGACACTGTGGACACAGCTTTCTTCACAGTGAGGGATAGAAAAACACATGAATAGTTAATAACACAAGACATATCTATGCAGTGCAGCTGCAGAGGGTACACAACAAAATAAGTGCAAAAAGTACAGATGCAGTGCAAACACTGTTGGCTAGGATAGGTTTACTGAAGTCATTTCACATTTTGTCTGCACTCCAAGCAAACAAAGACAAATTCTTCTCGCGGGGCTTGAGTTTGAAACTATCAGCATAGGGTACACAGTTGCATGAAACGGCATCTGTGCCATAGCTAGTCAGATTATCAGTGTCCTCTATCTTCTCGGTGGCCATCAAATCGACTGTGATGGTGTTTGATAGGCTCCTCAACCTCATGGGGGGAATCAATAAGAGGCAAAGATTAGAATGGACTAGGACTGAAGTAGACAGAGATGGAGAGAAGCCAGGAGTTGGATGGACATGGGCCATCTATTGAGATGGAAGAGAAAATGAGCCATTATTCACAACACTGCCTCTCTAAAGACTTCGATAAAATGAAGCCTATTACCATTATTATTGATTGCTTGGTACAGTCTGTACCGCTGGAAGGCATTCATACTTGAGCCTATATACTCAAATATACTTAAAAGATCTGAGTGTTTACCATCTGCTACCCCTGTAAACATATGTTCAGTCACGTCCCAAACTCTTGAAGAGGTAGCTTCAGCGTACATTCCATTTCTTGCTTCATTAATGCTCAATGATGCTTCCTCATTCCCGCTGCGTTGTAGATATGGGGGAGCTGTCACTGTCCAGGGAAGGCTACACCAGCTACCTGGGTGTCCCACAGGAGCTGAAGGTGCGACTCGGTGATGACGTGGTGGTGAAGTGCTCTGTCAGTTCATCAGAGGAGCCGAGCTACTTCTGGAATAAAGACGTGAGAAAGCCTCAGGAATATGCACAGTGGCAGTGTCCTCATTATGCTTTTGGAAACTTGTCATTCTGTCTCCCGCTCCCTCCCTCCACTTTCAACGTGACCTCTTTATTTTTTTCCTGTCCTCTAGGACCCTCTTTCTCTATTGGCTTTGCTCAAGCATTCTCTTAATATTTCTCCCCTCTTCTAACACACTCTTCTTCTCTGACTTTCTCAAGCCACTTGTTTCCCCTTGGCTGTTGTCTTTTCATCCCCTCCTCTGAAGAAGTGCTCCGTACCGGTTGGCTTAGGCCCACCACTCGCTGGGGATTGCAGCTTGCCCACTTACAGAGGATTAATAGTTTAATGAGGTCTAGACAAGAGCCAGTCAACCTGAAAACAATTATGTGGATAGATTTCTAATGATTTTTTTAGTGTTTGGTTAACCAGTATTGAATTATTCAACTGGGCTCTTCGCTGAGCTAAGGAACCCTCACCCGAGGGAAATTAAGACATCACAATGTAAAATGCCGGAGTGACTAGTGACAATAGGCATGTAGAACAAGAAGAAGTTGACTTGGGAGATACACTGTGCTCTTGTGGTGAGAAAATGGTATTACACTCAACGTGCCATCAAAATCACCACCACCACCAGCGAGTAACAGGTGTAATGAAGCCATGCAGCTATGAAGATATTTTGGGAAAAGGCAGACGTAATTGCCAAGTTTCCCCTTTTGTTATTTTTCTTGATAAGTCTGCTCAGGGTTAATAAGCTTGTTAAAGGGTCACTGCTAATCCGGGTTTTAAATGGGCTTACAAGTCCAAATCCAATTCAGTGGACATTTTATACTGCTAATACTGTTTGTCCTCGGCATGTTCATATGTAGTGCTTTAGGTTTTTGTCATTTGTTGAAGAATGACAGACACGTCCGTTGTTGTATGTTGGAATAAATTAGCGCACCAGTAGTCAGGATTCACCTGTCGATCTAATCGTGCGCTATTTACATAAGTCACAGGACCTTTGCAAAAGAGGAATGACACATTCTAGGAAATGATGAAATGAAATGTTAGTGGGAGAGTGTGTGTGTGTGGGTGTGTGTGTGTAAGCCCACTGTACGGATGACAGGAACAGATATGGGGCAGAAAGCCGCATCCGAATGGCCCACTTTGACAGACAGACCCTGTGCGCACATTGGCCCCCGGTAATGACAGCAGGACAGAGGCAGAAACGGGCCACTGCTTGGGAGCCAGTGGATTTGCATACAAAATGCTGCTTTGGCCAAACCTGGCCTTTATGGGAAATCCTCTTAATTCAGATCCATTCAAATTGAAATGGACTTTCTTGGCAGGAGCTGCAGCTCCCAGGAGCCAAATCATTTGCATGGTGTAATGTCTTTTTTTTTTTTTTTTTACCCCCTCCTCTACGTTTGTTTATTTTCCAATCCTTGTGTTTGGCCTATTATTTGTTTCCTCCCATGTTGGGCTCTATCTCATAATAGTGCTGCTATTTTTGTGTCAACAATTCATCCTGCTCCCTTGCCATCTCATTATGTGTTGTGTTAACAGTGTGTTGTTGCGGCATCATTCTTTGCGAATGATGGTGTTATCTGGGGTATTGACTTGTGTTGATGTGTGTTCATTCATTGGGATTTCTGCTCAGGTAAATACACTTCATTTGGAACTTTGTGGACTGTTCTCTGAGGACCACACACCAGCTGTCTGTCTTTCTGTCTGTGTCCCGCTGCCTTTGCCAGTCTATCTTGTTCTATTTCGTTCTCTCTTTGTCCGTCTTTCCTCTTTTACTGATACACAAATCAGCCAAAATAACAACTTTCTGCCTCGCTTTTTCACAATCTTCATGTCTGACAGTCTGTGTTTCTCTCTCTGTCTCTATCTTTCGCCAACTGGCATCATCTGTTCTCCATCTCTCATGTGCTCTCAGCTCAGCACAATTTTAATATGTAGGAGTTTTTGGATTGTCGTCGTCGTAACAATCTAGCCAATAAAATATTTGTTCTGCTTGTAATTCTCCTGCACCCTTGTATGTTTCCATCTATTCTCACTTAGGGTGACGACTGGATCCTGCCTTCCTCTACGCTGACGCTCAGGAAGGTGACGGCGATGGATGCAGGACAGTACACTTGCATGGCCGAGCATCCCTCTGTGGAGTCACTCCGCAAGAGCCGCACCATCAGCGTCACTGTGCTGCCTGGTAAGAGGAGACTTGACGTCTACCTGGACAAGGCCTGTTAGTCTAGAGTGGTCATATACCGCTTCCTCATTCTTAGAACTGGTTTGAGTTTTCTTTGTAACTGTTGTAAAATTCAGCTGACAAAATCCCTAGTTTGTTCTATTTCCTTTTCAATTAGCCACTCAGATGTGACCAGCAAGGTCAAGTGTTTGGGTGCATTTGCGTCATCGTGAACATAATGCAGAAGTTCTCATTTGAAAGCGTGACACTTTTTTTTTAAAACCCTAAATTTCTAAGGAAGGAGTGCGGGGTTAAGGTTTAATGTATCTGCACGCAGAAATTATGAAGTAAGAAAAAACTGTGATGCTGTAATAAAGAGAGGTGAAGGCATTTATGGAAATACCACACATAAAAAAGGTGACAATAAAGTCTCAAATGGGAAAAAAAAAATTCAAAGAAAATAGGTAAGATGATACCATAGGTCATAATACATTTAAAATAAAAGGCAATGACAGAACTGCACCAACTTTAAAGGATAAGAGGATAATTATTAGATATAAAAGAAGCAATGATTTTACCTGACCTTTTGCTTTTGACAGAAATATCAAGTCAAACATAAGTGTACTCTAGAGCACAGAACAAAGAGACACAGACTTAAGGGAAGTTAGAATTATTCGTGAGCCATTAGAAGCTGAAATTTGTGAGCAGGGGATTGGTTGCTGTGACTTTCTAACATAATCAGAAACTATACAGTACATTATAGTACATAATGATAATAAGCTCAGCAGACACTGCTTGATTAGAAGTTTGGCTGTCTTTTCACTTTTGTGGATTGATGTCTACGGAGTGACAATTTTTCTTTGTCAGAGCCTGTCTCACTGACAAACTGTCTTATTTCTCATGAAACGTGAAGACTGTATTCAAGTGGAGAACTAATTTCATTACAACATTATAGCTAATCCAATTTACGACACTTCATCTGTCTTCATCATCTTTATCACTGACCTGTGAGATGACTATGCTGTGTTAATGCACTGCAATTTTTAAATACTGTCCTCTCACTCAGTTGGATTCATAAGCCTTGTGATTTCAATCGTTGAAATTATGCAACCTCTAAAAATGCAATTAAACCAATGCATGTTATTTATTATGGTAGAGTTATCTTATTACTGCTGCAATTGACTCATTGGTCACAGGGCTCCTCAGTGTGTCCAGTATTTTCTCTGAAGCACATGTACTAATTAAAAAAGGTAATAATTTCTAGATGCTAAAATAATGTTTGCTCATCCTTGAAAGTATGGTGAGCAAATGTTTCATGTCTATGCTGTTTGAAGTTGCACTGCAATAGGAGTACAAACCTCTAGCAAACAGTGCTAGTGCAAAAGGAAAAAAGAAAGAAATCCTCTTAACAATTACTGGGTATGTGAACAGACGAGGCATGTGTTTGTTGCGGCTTCAAACCCTCATAACCTTTTTTCCCCCCATAGTCTTTTCTTTGTCCACTGCACATGAGGTCCACAGAATCCACAAATGATATATATATATAATTTGGTAATGTATGCACATGAAGGAGATAGACAGTTTTTAAAATTGTAAAAGGCAGAGTTCTTGAAGATCAGTGCTGCGTATGACCGTACAACCATCTGAACTCCAGACAGACACGCTTTTCTTCCACAAACAAACAAACAAACAGGAGGTTGCCTTTAGAAGCTTTGCCTGGATGCGGGAAGATCATAGTATTTTTGATTTAGGAGTCCGTGTGATGCATTTTTACCTTCATGTCTGAATGATTTGTCCCACAGAGGATGCCCCCTGGTATGAGTCTAGTAATGGACGTCTCGTGTTGATGACCTCGGCGGGGGCTGTGTCTCTCTTGGTGTTCATCCTCTCCATGAGTGTGTTCCTGTGCCGCAGGGCCAAGCAGTCCAAGACCAGCAAGGGACCCATGTAAGGAACAACTGTTTGTTTGCATCTGCACCACCTTCATAAAAGTGAAATCCATTTGCTCTTCCACTTGTGATTTTAAATCATGTTCAGAATCTGATGGATAACGTGTCTCTGAATGCAAGTAAGTGTGTGTGTGTGTGTGTGTGTGTGTGTGTGTGCGCACGCTTGTGTGATTGTTTGATTTCTATACAATGCTTTATCCACGCTCACCTTCCTATTTTCCTTAACTCAGCCCCAGTGTCTGCTTCTGCAGTTTGACTTTATATCACAGATATGGTTATTGCTGCAGTATTTCATTCTGTCTCATGTGATAGAACCAAGGCCATTTCAGTTTCAGTGTGTGTATTTTGGTATGTGTGCCATTGAGTACCTTGGTGTTTACTTCACCTTGTGTATGCGTTATGTATGCCAAGTGTTTTTGCAGAAAACCTTTCCACACACAAACTAGCGCCTGTGTGCTTTTTATGTGGTTTAAAAGGCGTTATCCACACAGAATATTAAAGTCTAGCTCAGCAGGCCTGACCTGCCCGACCTCATCCTTGATCTGTTTCATGCTCCCTCCTCTCCCATGTGTATCCACACACATTCTGCTCTTATAAAAAACCTGGGCTAATAGATCCAGGTTTAATTCTGTGAATAATAGTATATAAAGAATAAATAAGGCTACAATCCTAAGAGCATTAGTGGAAGGCCCATTAAATCTGTTGCTGACTGTATGTTAATGTGCACCGTGACCCCACACAGCTTCGCTCATTAACGTCTTTTCCATATGGGCTGACAAAAAAGCATTTTCAAAATGCAGAATTTCCAGAGCCTGATTCATACATGGTTTCTGTGTCTTTATGGTGGCGTAAAAGAAAAAGTTTAATCCTTACAAGTGTGGCTTGGCATGTGCTGTCATGTGTATATGAGCACGTGTGCATAAAAAGAGAAAAATAGAAAAGACAGTTCATATGAACAGCCAGGTGTGGTTCCATGCTCTGTTCTAGTTTCCTCACTTATAATTTTCTAGTGCCTACTGGGAGGTCGATATACTGATAATGATGCTCTTCTGTCTTTCCTTCTTTCCCTCTCTCCAGTGATGACCGGTCTCAGAAAAAGCCCATCTACAAAAACAGTGTGGAGTCCCTACCCTCCACCTGCGGAGACAAACAACCTCTGGTGTGACTACACAGGCAGGTGGAAGGATGAGGAGGCGGGTAGGAGGAAGATGGAACGAGAGGCGAGGAAGATTGAGTGGGTGGCCAGAAAATGAGGGATGGCATAAAGGAGATACTTAAAGAGGGAGGAGATGGTATAGGGTTATGGATGGTCACACTGAGGGAGAAAAGAGGGATATTTAGAGACTGTAGGGAGAGCAAAATCAAAATCAGTAACAAGCTGGGTGTAATAAAACCTGAAGGGCAAATGATTGCTTTAGAGAACAGAAGCTGCTTTGCTTGTGGGTGTATGCTGCAATAATGCATCTGCAGTGTGGAAAATGGTGAGCTTCATTCTTAACAAAACATTGATTGAGCCATTTGGGTGATAGGACAAGGTTTTATTCTGTTCGTTTGTTTCCCTTTCATCCTTTTTTTTCCTAAAGCACAACCAGTTCAAAGCATCTGTGAGATGGTTATTATATCTTTACTGTGACAGCACATTGCACTCTACTATTTTATTTAATGTACTTTGGATTTCTTTGATATTAAATGGCTTTCAGAAAATAATATTTACTGACATGTGTGCCATTGATTTTGTTCCATTTTAGAGACACAAAAGCGGTTGGGGAATATTGACAACGCGGTTAAAACCCGCCATGCATGTGTGCTTGGCTGCACATCTTCTCGATCCAGTTTCATCTAAGGCTTGCATCATCTTGTTTACCAACCTTTACCTTCAGTCTGTAAGACCTTACTCTGAAGCGGTGACCTTTACTCAAAGTACTGTGCCTGTGCATGCTTGTTTTTCCCCATCTGCCTGTTAGCACAAAACTCATTCTCAGTGAGTTCAGCTCACAAACACATGCATGAAATAAAGAGTCACACTTGAGAATAATAAGAGTAGGCAGGGATAGCCACTGCTAGTTCTACGTCAGTATTAACTAGATTTAGCTACAACTACATCTTTTTAATTTTCTCCTCTGTTGCCTTGTAACCCTTAACGGTGGGCCACAGTACCATCACTTATTACCATAATCGTACTCAATGCAGAGAATTTCATTACGCTTGTCTGTTGAAGTTATGTTGGGTTTTATGTGGTTTTATTATGGGTGTGTGGTTGACTGTAGGCCATCGTTAATAATGGGCGTAGCGGCAGTTTAACAATGACACTCCATTAACGGGTGCATGCGCCACAGAGCACAGCCAGGATAATGTTATTAAACTGATTATTCAAGCCCCCCGTACAGCTCGCTTCTGCTGCAGCCATCCTTTTGTTGAGCATTTTACAGACTCCTTGTATTTCTTTTCCAACTCCACAAACTTCTGCTTACTTTATGTCTTAGGTCAACCCCAGGAATAAAGAGAACAATAGCGAGACAACCAAAACAGAGACTTTTAAAAATGCGTCACGCTCCATAGGAAAAAAAAAACAATGTTGTAAATTTAAAATACCCTCCTGCATGTGAAATGCCAGTGAGCACAATTTTGTTTTGGCCTTTGAGTCAGTCATGAGTAAAAAGCTGTGGACTCCCTAGTGGGCTTTGGTCCTAGGGTTTCAACTGGTTGGCCAGAAAAGACAAGATTATGTATCAGGAATTTCACACAGTGGAGCTGTCCCTGAGGTACAAGCCGCTGGTTGGGAGGGAGAGAAGTGTAGTTTACAGTGACATTTTGACCTTGATAGTGCCTCATGGATAAACCCCCCGGACAACAGCTTAGGGCGATGCAGGAACTGTGCAGAGAATACAGAGCAGCCAAAATGTTTTGTCTGGTGCAGGCAGGGTCCTAACTGCACAAAGATGCAGATCTGTGACACTAAAGTCTAGCTACTCATCACTAGTGTCAACAGTTAGTCAGGTAGGCAAACGTCATAGCTGTCCTCAGGACACTAACCTACATGTAAAGATGAGTTGTAGCAAACATGCCACCTCATTGACTAATGCATCAGCTCTGTGCCGTCGCCCACTGCTGTTCTCGTCACGGCCACTTGGTTTTGTATGTGCATCCTGCATATGTTGTGTCAAATGGCTGAAAATGAAGGAGTGGAGTTCGCTGGAGAAGCAGGTGTTTTCCCCTCATTACTTCCTGACAATGCCCCATCTGGTGCGGTGGAGATGCTGCCACAGATTCCCTGCCAACCGGAGGGAACAAACACTTGCGGAGCGGCTGACTGGGGAAAAATGGGATGGGATGGGAATTGGGGAATGAGCGGGGCAGTTATTATCCTCGCCAAAAACACCAAGGTTAAAACTTTTGTCAAGAAAGTAAATCACTGAGCTGAGAGAGCGTGAAGCTGAGATATTAAGATTTCACACAGATCCACAAGTCGAGGTCAGATATGTGGCGTGAGTTCAAAGAAGTCAAGGGTAGAAATATTAATATTAATGCTAATAGACTGCTTTGATGCTTTACTGCCTGTTTGAACTTTTCTGACAGTTTGAGCCGAACAGACCAAAGTGTCTGGAGGATTTGTGACAGATGAGAGAGAGGCCAAAGCAGATATCAAACCCATGACGTGCTATCCATAATGTTACCTGAAGGAGGCGCCAAAGATACAGTTTCAAAAAGATGCCTTCAAGCCTTGGATGCCACAAGCCCATGGTATAACAGTAGATTGTGGGGGAGGGGGGGGGGACGTGGAAAGAGAAACAATTTTCATAATGGAGCAGCGCTCTCTGACTGGAAAACACAATTATGGACAAACAGTGGTCACAGCATGAGGGTAAAGTTAAAGAGCCCCTTTAGCTGGACCTAATAGGGCCTGACTACAGATGAGCAGAAACACTTGGCTAGTCCGGAGCACAAGTTTTCTTTCCGGGCCATTACCACCATTGTGACCGGTGATTTAACCAAATACACCTAGGTCTGCTTTCTGCTGTCCTGGATGAGCCCTTTGCACATTTGGGAGACAAGGCAGCTTGTGCAACAGAATGTCTCCTAATCTCAAAACACCTAACGCACATGTTCTGATTTCGCAGTGAGTCAATATATAACCTTTCCTCCAGTTTTAGTCGCCAAATAATCTAGATAAACACATCTTATAATGATAAATAGTTATTTTTGCCACCACGTCTGTCTTATAATGTGTCTTTTTGTACAACTGACTTTAGAAAAATATGATTGCAACAGCATTGTCTCTTCAAACAATAAACATCTGTTTCATTTTTCGTCATTTTAATCATTGTGTCACACATCGTTGTCGGTCCCTGGAACTGAATTTGAAACAAATTGGTTATTTGCGTCGGAATAATTAATGTTGGTTATCAATCACATTTAGAGCGAATTGATTTCAATTAATTCGAATGTGCAGCCCGTCTTCCCTCCGCTGATCTCCTGTATACCCTGTTTCTTTTTAAAGCCCAACCCCTCTTTCTCATCCGCACACCCCTCCACCTGCTCCTGCTCTCTACAATTGGTCAGAAACCCGCACTGGCCCGCCCTACTGTCAAGCTTTTAAACATATTTACAATGTAAAGTAACCAAGAAAAACTGGCTTAGCCATCACATTCAGGCACTCAGAGCGAGAGAAAGTGGGTGTGTATGAGAGGGAGCATTACTATGTGAATACCTGCTACGCACTGAGGGTTTGGTAAAATACACACTCGTTCGCGCACAAGTCGTACGCGCGCGCATTCACACGCACACGTTTACAGACGCTAAAGGCGCTGTCAGTGAACCTGCGGGTTCAGGTCACTCTGATTTCATCAAGGAAGAGGAATACTGAAGGAAGAGATCACGGGGGGAATATCAGCGACAGCCATGGCTTTCGCGACCGTGTGGAACTACTGCGTCCCTCTCACCATCATCACAGTAGCCTGCTTGGTGCGCACTGGTAAGGCTCGACCGAGAGAGTGAATGAGTGTGATGAATTGAGAAGAGTGTTAAGCCGTCTCGATGTGGTGAGGCTTTTCCACTGCAAGTTTGCCTAAGTCCTCTAAGAAGAAGCTGAATAACGCTTAAAAATGCACCCGGTCTTTTCAGACTTGGGAAAATGGAAGGAGGAGCTCACCGCGGGACAAAAACACGTGCAGATATTCTTGTTAACAGCCATCCTGCGGGCCACTGTTAATATTTGCCGCTGGGTAATCAGAATTAAAGCCGTTTGGGCAACATCCGTATTTCTATTTTGGTATGAGTCATTCTGTTGTCCACTTCTCAAAGCTGGAAAGACCCTGAAATACCACAAGATGAAAAACAAAAGTGAAAGGCGCAGGCTCGCTGTCACTTTTTGCCCAAGTAGAAACATTTTATGAATTATTCCCGTGCTCTGTTGACTTGTGCGTCACAGCATTTTGACCGTTTTCTCTGGACAGACCGTGATTGGGATTTATTGTATCATAGCTGCTGTGTGAAATGAGGCTGGAGTCCCGGGAGGCATATGCAGCCCAGTGTGTATACAGCCATGCATGTAGAGAGCTCTGATTGAATATTCTGACAGCCACATGAGAGCTCATAACAAATGCCCGCAGTGGACCAGACGTGTGTCACACACCAGACCCAGCAGTGGGGTTTGTCACTGCTTTTATATATTCTGCAATAGTGTGAAGGAGTGAAAGGACCTCTGAGACATCACCTTATCAGATACAATAACACCTAACTTATATATATTATAAAGCTTTGTAATGACACCTGCAGTGCCTTTGTTGCTATTAGTCTCCCCACTGGCACTGCTCAGTCTGGGATAGTCCTGCATCGCTCCCTCATAAGTACACCATATTTCGTGGTCACTACCTATCACAAGTCTGCTGCAAAAATAGGGATTTAGGACTCAGTCATGACTCCGAGCAACTTCAGCCTCATGGTATTCTGTGCCATCTGCTTGGATGTGGTAAAATACAGACTCATAACAAATCTTCCACTGAAAGCCTCCTGATGACCAGGAAGATGTTGCTTCACTGAACCGTGTCCTGTGGCTGTTGTGTTTTATAGGGCTTTGTTTAAGTTGTCTCGAGGCAGTGAAAGGGTTAAGTTCTAGGTCGGATATTGTCACAGTCAGACCTGTGCTGTTGTGATGATGTCTCCTTTATATAGGGAGTGCTACATTGCTCCATAGCCATTCTCGTGGCTGCGCTGATACCAACCTCACCATGGCCTGTGTATTGATTTCTTCTGTTGAATGTGTATCTATTTATGTCTGCTCCTGTAGAGGGTTGATTTACATGCACAAGCATGTAGACGTTTGTGTCAGTCTAACTGGAGTACTGTGTGAGTGGTGTGCGTGTGTGTCTGTGTGTGTCTAGGCGCCTATTTATTAATACATGTGCGTTGCATGTAAATGTGCTTTATGTCTGTGTGCATGCGTGTGTGTGCTGCTTACAGTGCCGCGTTTTGAACGAGCTGCAGGCAACCTCTGCTGGGGGCTGCTCGCTGATCACGGTCATTAATCTAGCCACTGACAGGGGCCTGGAGAGACAGGGAGCTGGGGGTGGAGGGGTGTTATGGGCAGGGGGTGGATGGAGGAAGGAGGGGAAAGAAGTGTAAAAATGGTCTGTTTGTGAACACGCTGCGCATATGCAATCTACTGTGTATGTGTAAAAAAAAAATGTATTTCATGTCTTGGTCATTTTCC